TAAAATGTCTGGAGAAAAAGGTTTGCGCAAACTCAATTTTCACGCATTGGATAGCTACATTGTCAGTTAAGCTGTTCAAGCACACTATGAAAGGCTATCTTCTAGAAATGTAAGTAATATAAAACTAAATGGTGATAAATGATTACTTCTTTACAGTTACTTGAGTTGCATATTTTAATTTCCTTTTTATATAAGTAATATTAATAGTTATTAGTAGATAATTATGCTTTCTTTAAGGGAAAATTTCTTTAGTCATTCATTACTTTCATAAAAATAAACTAAAATTTGATAGTTTTGATTTACTGTTTGGTTTAAAGCTTAATTAATTGTCATTATATATTACATTATATAGATATAATATTTTTGCTAAGATAACTGCTTGTATAAATAATTCTAGTTTGTCTGTATCAATATGCAATATTTAATTATCCAGTTCATTCACATATACTGTAGTATTTTTATACTAATAGATTTTGTATAAACCATTTAGAATTTTATTTAATATTTACATAATTTAAAATCAGAAGTGTAAAATTTATCATATTTTGATAATTTATATCACAAAACTTAAATTGTCTTTATGGTTTATCTTACAAATTCNAATTTAAAACACGAAGAAAAGGTATTTACATTTTAAACAGAAGAAAAATTGAAACTCAACGTTGTCACTTTCGGGGACCACCACTTTACCCTTCTTCTCTCTACCGTGTCCCGACCTACTCTCTCTGTCCCTTCTTTTTTTGGTTTTACGACCCATTGTCTACATTTCTTATTTCCCTTTTACAACTGTACGCAAATGGATTGCACATGGACCGACAAAACCGCATCTGAGGGAGAACGAGGAGGTCCGATATCACTACAGTTGCGTTTGCGCATTACGTTCGGTTACAACTTACAAGTGTAACACGTTAAGTCAAGACATCGCAAGCGATCGACCAAAATTGGTTTTGCGATCGACTTGTTGGCCACCCCTGTTATATATTATATATACTTGTGGCCCAAAACTTCTTGACTTCTTCCAATGCGGCCCAGAGAAACAAAAAGGTTGGACACCCCTGGTGTATATAATGTTTTATAAATTATCTATCTGAAATTTGTTAATAAAAATTAAATGTAATGGCACTATCTAATTTTATTACTATTAGTTTGTTTAATGTTATCTATACAAAATTTTACCAGGAATTTCTCATGATTTACTGGTTACAAAAAAATTACTACTACTAGGGAATTTTGTTTTTAATATAAGAATCCAGTTATAAACTTGTAAAATTAAATAAGACTATAAATAGAGGTGTCATGTATGTCTGTGATTAAGAATTTCTTGTGTGATGTGTGTTTAGTAAGGCAACCTTTTAATGTGTGATGTAATGTTTCAAGACTTTTGTGTAGTGTACTTGGTATGGATCCTGTGCAAGAAAGGGCTATTGCACAATAAATACAGTGCAATTATTTATTCAAAATAATTGGAGGCAGACATTTTTGTATAAACTGATCACACTTGGTTGGGAGTTGAATTAAAATATAAACACTTTAAATAAAGTGAAAATTTTAAGTTAATTCTAATACATTAGTGTAAAAAGACTAAGACAGGAGTTTAATACGCACAAATGATTAGAGATAAGAAAAAATTGTAAACTAATTTCTGGAATTAGTATGTTCTGAAGTTGATTTTTGTTTATCGGTTTTTTGATAATTGAAACTTTGCTGTACTCATCCATTCTCAGTAGCTGTTTCACTTCAGAGGCAAATTCTGAGTATTTGCTAACTTTTTTCTCTTTGTATGTTTTGTATGTTATGGGTGTACAGCTATGTTTATATATAGGATTTTATTTTATCAGTGAATATAATGTTAGATGTGTGATGGATTGTGTTGTCAATGATAGTTAAAGTATGTTTTGTGTGTATTTTTGTTTTCTATGATTGTATAGTTTCTAGGTGTGAGGTAGTTCCAGTTTGTGTGCAAGCTTTTATTGCTATTAATGGTTACAGCATACTGATTCTTGTGATTTGTGTTGAAAATTAACATACAGCTGGGAAGAAAACAACTTCAAGTAATAAAACATTGTTGATTTTACTACTGAACTGATAGTAAATTTGAAGGCTTTATAGGCTGTTATGGTTCCTTTACGTTGATATCCTGTTCCTATTAACATCCCTGGATACATAGTTTTTTACTCTCCACTCTGCAGGCACTAAGATGGCCTGTTTCAGCTATGTCAATTGTAGGATTGTCCATACTCACAATGGGGATGGCTGGGTGGGCCTAACATATCTTAGAATTGACCATCCCAAAATATTTCCTGAGGTTTCCAGTCAGGACTCAAACCCAAGTCCCCGGAGTGATAGGCTAATGCCTTTACCACCTTGGCCATCTGGTTGTCTGTTAATGGATACTGGGGATACTTTTGCTAGTGAATATTTATTTTTTTTAATACAAAAGTAAGTTAAATTGACATTTGAAGAGAAGAATTTCCTATCATTTTCTTTTTAATTGTCTTGATAAATTTTTTTTGTGCTTTGTGAGAAAATTCAGGTACATTTTTGTTCGGCTAGCTACTCTCTCAGTTCGGTAAATAAAACTTGATCATTCTCTGTATAAATTGTTTAATTTATGATGATTTGATGTTAATTCAAAGAATATATACATGTTGTTTACATACCACATTGATTTCATGAATTATATCATAATTACTTTCTGCATTTGTCAATTTTTTGTATACAAAATAACTGATTAGATATTTTTGTTTATCATCATCATTATGAGATGATTAACTTGAATATAAATAATAATTGATATAATTCCTATTACTTTCAAATAAAGGGTTATAACTTTTAACTTATTAAGTACTTAAACATGTTGACATATTCATTTTACTATGTTCAAAGTTTTGATTAGACATTTTTTGTTTAAGATAATTACAATTTTTAAACTTAGAATATTAAAATATAGTAAATTTTAATAGAGTTAATTAAAAATTAGGTTAAATTATTGGTATTAAGAAATGATGGAAAATAAAAAATGTATTATTTTGTATATTTTCTCATAATAAATTGACAAATTTGAAACTCTTATCATATATACATTATTCAAAATGTCTATAATGAAAAAATAATATATTAATGATTTATTTTATATAAATATAAACAAACATTGTTAAATGAAAATTGTTGAAAAATTGGCATAAAAGAATTTTTTTTATGTAATAAAGAATTTAAATTGGACATGCCTTAATTGTAAAGCTTGCTTTACAATTAATCATCATCAGATTTGAATATTGGGGTTTGAGAATAATATTGCAAGTTAAGGAATAAATTCAAAATGACAAAACAGTGCTTACAATAAAATTAATGAATATAACAATAATAAAAACTAGCAAAATACAAAAAAACTTAAATGAAAGAGGTCACTGAACCTGCGCTCACTAAATACATGGAGTGTGTCAAAATTTACAAACATGGACTCACTGGTACTTGCGTAAACAATAGGAATATGGACATTATTCAAGGCAGGGCATATTTTAGATGCTTAATTACTAAAGCTCTGTGCTGTCATAATTATTATTCAGCTTTATATTTGATATATTTATTTAGTTGTTATTAATTTTATTTATTCATTAATCTGAATTAAGAATATCCAGAGCATAGTGACTTTGGAGGTAACGTGACAGTATTCACCAATTTTTGTGTCATCTCCAACTGTTATATTGTCTGGAACTTGTACTGCTTGATTTATGTGAATTAATACTGGCCATTTCACTCATTTTTGATAAATGTACTGAGTATAATTTTATACAAAAGAATCAAAAATTTTCTGTATTAATTCAGAAAATCAGATAAATGTATTTTACACAAATAAAATTTGATGAATTTTTGTTTTTAATATGTTTTTATTTGTAGTTTTAACTGAAGTGTATAGTTTTTCACTTCCCTAAGTAAATTAAAAACATAGTCACAAACATCATTACAGTAGTCAAACAATTAGTTATAACTTTTGGTTTCTAAAATTATTATTTACAGTTGCTATATATAAGAATCAAATAAATGGTTACTTAATTGATCATTTTATTTGGGAAAATATTAACAAAGTTGTTAAAAAAATTAAGTAAGTAAATTATTTAAAATTTTTTCATGAGGCAGCACAGCTGTTTAGTCTTTATGTCTCTCGTATGTGTAAATTTGTTTCCCTCATATGTACTGTAACACTGTGTATACTGTTGAGTCTGTTGTCATATCTTGTGAAGTTAAAACTAGCCACTGTAATTAATTTAATGAAGTAACTAGTACACATTTAACAGTGGGTAAGGTTAGAAAAATGCTAACAGTTCTGATTCAATTATATCTATTTACACCTGAAAATCCATTCCTCTTAAACTTAGTTCACATGGAGTGCGATTCGCTGGCGAAAGTGAAAAACAGAGTGAATAACCCGTCAAACAAATCAAGTTTGACCGATTATTTGCTCTGTTTTTCACTTTCACCAGCAAATCGCGTTCAGTGTGAACTAAGCTTTACATCTGTTCATCCCTGATGATGGTTCATTAATCAAATCAAAAATGTTAATGGTTGTCCAATCTTATCAACTATGAAAGATGTATTGGTTACCTAATAGTCACATATTGATCATTTACAAAATTAACCTTACACATGACATCTCTACATACAGTGTAACGAGTAATCAGTATTAACATATTGTTTCCTTGTTAGTTTGTTATATTCAAGAGCAATAATTCTTGAAATTATCATATATATTAATTGTTTGTGTGCGCTTGCTTTGATATAAATTTAAAATGGAACTCCAAGAACAAAAGTAATTTGTTTTTTGTTTGCACTTTAATAACTATAATCAGTGAAACCAAAAGAATAGTAAAAAGTATTGGTAACAAAACATTGAGATAATTTTTTAATTTAATTTGTTATAACAGTTTTTTTTTTTTCTTGTAGATTAATATTTGTGCGCTTCAGTTTTTAATGTGTTTCTTTTATTTTATGAATATTTTCAGATTTGTATATAGAATGTAATAAATTATTGATTATATAAATTATAAGAAGATCAATTTCATAATGGCAAAGAAAAAGAAGCTCAGACAAAAACGTCAACAGTCTCTTGGTGACTCGTCAGACGAAAACGAGGATAATAAACAATTAGGTAAAATTACACAGTCTTAATTTTGGGTGTTTGAGTTAATTTATTTTATTTAATAATTCTGGAAAGAAAATAATTTTAAACATGATAAACTGAAATACATGATTTTAAATTATTAAAAAAATTTTTTACTATTTATAAGATATTTCAGTTTTCTTTGTTTGAATTTATTTTCTTCCTGTTAAACATTTAGAAGCACATTAATTTTATTATTACTATTACTATTAACTTTTACTATATTTCTAAAATTAATAACTATTTATTTTATACATAGAAAATATTAAATTTTTATTTATTACATATCCATTCTTTTATTCTCATCTTGAATATTGAACAAGTATTGTACATATAAATATCTGTAATTTTTTAAATAATAATTAACCAGTGATGAATGCAGTTTCCATTTAGCATGGTTGTATACGTAACGCAGTGATTTTCCATTGATTTATTGTGAACAGTTATGCAGCATGTAATTGCTGTTTCTTAAATTTGATGGTTCTGAAAAATCCTGTGACATGTCTGCTTGTGCCAAATTTTAAGGCTGTATATTGTTTAGTTTATGAGATATTGTTTTATTTACAGAACAATGGCCTTAACCCTTCTCCCATAGGAAGCCTCCCAAAACTTTATTATAGCATGGGCTAATGTGAAATAAGTTCAGCTGGAAACGAATGATGGAAGGTCTGAGATGTTCCTCAGAAGGATCAGAAAATATTTTTTTGTTCTTTTTGGGCACAAAATAAACCTGCAAGAAATTTAAAATATTGAAGGTGGTAGCACCCTAGGCGCAGCGCCAATTCTGAATTCTGATAGGTGTGCAGTGCATGCATGCAGGTGGCCAGAAGTTCACTTTAAAAAATATAATTTAATATTATATTAATATAGTGGTCAGCAATGAAATAGATTAATGTGTGCATGACAATTAGTGATGTAACTGTGCAATTTATAGATTAAATAATGCTGAAGCATGCATGTTAGGTGTTTTGCACCAGAAAATTTAGAGGATTCATCTGTTGAACAAAAGTAAAATTCATCAGTGGGAATTCCATAACCACTGTGAAGTTCTACATTTTAAATCACATATAAAAAACAAAAATTTGAAGTTTGCAAACTCCAAGCTATATTTATGCTAATGGCTTATGATTAAATTTAAGGTTATACTTACATAACTTATTGTGAATGGTTGTATTAAATAACATAAGTACAAGGTTTTATGTTGATGCTTGATTTTCATTCTGAATGCACTTTTATTCCCATATCATTAATCATAAAATTATACTTACACCATTATTTTAATGTTAACGGAACCAAAAGGAAATTTAAATTCAGAAGAGATGAGTACAATTTAAATTAATTTTTATATACACATATGTATATATTGTATTTATATACTAAATAAGAAAAATATCTTTAAATTAATTTCATTTTAATATGCAAATTCTGTTTTATGGTGACGCTAAAATATGACTTCAAACAAAGATGCCTGTTATTTACAGGACAGTTTGATTTGAATAAAATTAAAATAAATATATATCAAATATTTTTACGGACATTTTTTACCCCTGTCAACTATATGAAACTGTCATAAAACATACCAGTTAGCTCATATGGGTTGGGTTAGGTTGTAAATTTACTCACAATCAGTATCGATAAGGGAAACCAAATATCTGTAGTGCGCAGGCAACTAACATTCAAAAACCAGCTCTGCCTAGGCATATCTGAAGTATTAGAAGGAACCTAGGTCACCTAATATTGAATTTAATTTAATTACAAAAAATTTACAAAACTAAATATATAGAAATAAAGTTGTATCATTGGCATAAACTGTTTTGATTAATATTTTGTTAGGTTTGGAATATAATTTATTGAAATTTTTTTAACTTTTTCCACATTACTGGAATTAGAGAAATTTTACTTTTGTTACTGGTTCATCCAGACCTTCATAAGATAATGAGGATGAAGCTCAATATACTCCTGTCAGATCATTCTGAAGCATTTCTCAGGATTTGATCTGAATTCAGTTTCTTCAAAGCAGTTTTTATGCATCTCAATCATATTACTATTATAAAGGAATATTTAATTGTTAACCAGATAACTAATAATATAAATTTATGTGATTAATGTTTTTAACAGGTAAATTCTGTGCACATGCTACAAGAGCAGTTAATCTGACAGCTGTGAAAAAAGTTTTGAAAAATATAAAACTGGATGAATGTCAGGTATGTAAATATATTGTTTACTTATATCAATTTAATATTAAGTGCAAACATTTCAGAAGTTAAATTTATACAGTTTTAAAATAAAACATTACTAATGATATATATCAATGATAAAAGTAAAATATAATGTGAAATTACATCCTAAACACAAATTTCATACTAAAACTAAGTGAATTTCAAAATGTTTTTCTAATTATAAATTAATTATTTTTTAAATTGTGTGTTTATATTTTTTTACAATCTCTATTAAAAATGTATTATTTTATAAATAAGTTTTAACTATTTTAATAATTTCTTGTACACACAAAAATTCAAATAAGGTTATTAGGAATCTTCTAATCATGAATCTCTCATATGATGATAATATAATTGTCTGAAATTTAATACAGTAAAACCTGTCTATGGCGACCACCCACGGTTCCTTCAAAAAGTGGTCTTTTAGACAGGTGGTCGTTTAATACAGGTAACTTATTATGTAAATTGAAAATTCCGTGCCAGAAATTTTTGCCCGTTTTGACAGGTGCCCGTCCAATGCAGGTGGTCGCCTAAGCAGTTTTCACTGTAATAAAAAAAAATAATTAAATATTAATTCATAAAGATGGATTCTAACAAAGTTTTTAAACATTGGTGAAAAATTTTTATTTGGGAACTGATGCTTATATACATAATTTGATTCAAATATACCAGCAATATAAAGAATTATATTGATGTTATACATACATAATTGTACATGTTTAATTATTAGTTCATAGTTAATCTTCTGCATTCAAAAAAAAAAAAATGTCAATAAATTAAACACAAAAATAAAAATTGTGATCATATTGTCTGTCATTATATTTCACTGGAAATGATTGACTATCTCATACTTCTGTTCATTTAATGTTTAAAATGTAATTTCACATTATATTTTAAATGAGTGCCTCACACTTCCTCTAATTTTTACAGTTCTATAGAATTTATTTGTAAAAAAAAAATATTTCTTTAATAAAATTCAAACATCATTTAAAATTTTTTTAAAATTCTTAAGTGTAATAATAATATACATGAAGCAGCACTTTTCAAATTCTTTTCTTGATTGTTTTGATTGTATTTTGCAAATAATAATGACAAGTTTGCATACTTTAGAAAGTTAAGAACATGAATTCATATCGAGAAGAAATTCTTTGAGGGAAAATTTCTTTAAAAATTCAAAACATTTGCTTTTTACTAACAATTGTAAAATATAAATGTGTATGTTTGATTTCTATATATCTTTGATAGTGTATCCCAGACTTAAATTTATATATGTATAGTACAGATCTATATGTATGATATACAATATATTGTATATCATACATATAGACATTATTATAGATAACTGATATACAATATAGACGTGTTATAGATAATTGATATACAATATATTGTATATCAGTTTCTATATATTTTATGTATTATAGATATCAATCCTTTTTATACACTGATTCCAAACTTGCAGATTTACTTATTTGCAATTATAAAAGGATAACCCATTTCACAATACATTGTCTGATTTATTTTTTTGAAAATATTAAAACAAGACTGCATCTCTCCCTGGTGTATAATGTTAATGTATACATTAATACACTAATGTAAAAACTAACATTGAGATTTATGAAGATTTAAAGGAATCTGTAAAAAAAAAATTGTTAAATGGGAAAGAAAGTACATTACTTGAGTTTTTACTGTATTTAATTGCATTATTTAAGTGAAATAGCTAAAATTATTATGTATTTACAGTAGAGCATCGATTATCCAACCCCCAATTAACGGTCACATCGGTTAACCGACCGTTCTAGTTAGCAAAATTTCAAATGTCCGCTAGTGATGTGGCATTACAATATTTGGCTATGTCTTGGCTACTTTAATATTATTTTTGTTAAATTTTTGCGTGTTTTAGCTGGCAACAACGGCTCGACCATTGAAGGGAGGTCAGTATTTAAATGAGATTTAGTTTTCTAATTATGAGTGGTTGTTTGTTTCGTGAGCAATAAAATAATTTAAAAATAATTTTTAACAATACAATAGCGACAATTATTATTTTTAAGAAAAATTCATTAGGCTAAACATCAATGAAAATTCAACGCAAAGTTGGTTAATAGCAATATACTAATAAACTAATTACATGGGATATAGTAATATTCTAATATACTATACTAATAATGTATTTTTTTTTTTCATTCTTTTCGGTTATCCGATTTTTTCAGTTATCCGACCAACCTGAGTTTCCAATTGAGTTGGATAATCGATGCTTTACTGTATATTTAGTTTAAAAATAATTTTTTTTTAATGGATTTTAATCCATTAAAAAAATATAAATTAAATATTAAAACTATAACTTTATTAGCAATGTGTAAAAGAAAAGAAGACGGTTGTCAGCGATGCAGTCGATGAAGATACTTGTGATGTCAAAACATTATCATTATGTTTGCAATGTGGAAACATTGGCTGTAATGAAGAGAAAAGTGGTTTTCATTCAAAACACCATTACTTAACGCCACATTCTGATTGTCATGCTTTAATAGTCAACACATCTACATGGAGTGTTTGGTTTGTAAATAATTTTAACAAAATATAAATATTAAATTGAGAGTCACTGATTTATTTATTTATATATTTTATTTTTAGGTGTCATTCATGCAATGATGAAATACCTTTAGAAAATTATAAAGTAGTATCTAGTGCTGTTAATTTCATTAAGAAGTCAGATGCTGCTCAGTCGACTCTAACACCTGTAGTTAAACCAGGTAATTATTATTGGTGTTTGATCATTGTTACGCTGTTTTGAAGTATTTTTTAAAATTAATTTTAATAAAATGTATAGTTGTTTTCTAAATCTGAACAATGAATAAACAATTGAATTGTGTTCTTGGCACCTGCATGGAGTTCAGGGTGATAGGGTAATTGCGAGAGGTTTGAAAAGAAAAATACCATACTTTGAAAAAAGAAAAACATTTTTTTTTTTTTTTAATCTATATTAGATTATTAGGAGGTCTTAAATTTATAATTTTTTAGAAAAAGTGTTTTAAAAATTTAAATATGTCGATTGATATTACTTCAGAGACTCTGTAATACCTTGGCCCAATCCCTTTTTTAAGTGTTCTGTGATGCTCATCTTTGTGTTGAATTTTTATAATAATTTTTCACATAAGAAATTAATGTTAGTCTTAAAATTGTCATTTAGAATATTTTTTTAACCAGTCGGCTGTTCATTGCGATAATCTGAAACAACACCACTGTTGCGTGACATTTTCTGGTTTTTATAGTAATTTTTAAATTTGCAATATTTCACTTAAAAATTGTTGTAGATCTGATCTGTTTTTTGCCTTTTATCATTCACATATCACACTTTACGATTGTTAACTTCAAAATATTAAAAATATTCAAAAAAATTTTTTAAAAATTTATAAAATTTGAGAATTAAAAAAATTAAAAAAAGAAATTTCTTAATAAACATCTGATTAATCTGTTATATATGTTAGATAGATAGGTCTATATACACACATATAAAAAAAACTGCAGCTTTCTAAACCGATGTAAAGAAATAATACGACCTATAGATTATAACGCCGATCGGCGCGTAAGGGGGTGGTGGTTATTCTAAATTTAGGTCAATACACTTTTTAGTATTGATGATGTATATTTGATTCTATTTATGCTATTTACACTATTGTACTAACAGTGGTATATATAAAGCGATTATTACTTTAATTTATTAACGATTATACGTGTATTTTTTACGTATTACGAAAGTTACATGATAACCGGAAGTACTTTGTTTTTTAAAAGATTTATAATTAGATGGTTTAAAAAACATGCTTATTTGTTAAATAGGATAAATATTTATAAAAATTTACTAAACTGAAGCTAAAATTAGACGAGAATAATGATTTATAATTGTTTGTTTACGTTTGTAGCTAACAATGTAGCTCCGATAAAAATAACTTTTTCCCAGAAAGTTCCCACCCCACAAACCCAAGTCAACGCTTATTCGTTAAAAGATAGTCATTTAACTATAATATACCAATTAGAGGTCAACAGACGTGCAAACAAGAATTTTATTGTCCAATGAACGAAAGAAGGGTCTCCCATAGACTTAACATGGAAAGGAGGAGTTTTGTGGGTAAATTTAAAAATAAGGAGTGGTAACAAATATCTTATTCGTTGAAACAGACTTAGTCTATGTAGATAAATGCCAATCAGTGCTTAAATCGCCACCAACTAGTTAATTACGAAAAAAAATTGACACTTACTCCAATTGGAGTACTGCACAAAAATTTAACTAAAACCGGTTACTCCAATTGGAGTACCGCGCAACCGACTGGTTAAGTAAAAATAATATGTAAACATTTTAATAGTTAAAGTAATTATGGAATTTTAAAATTACAACCTGAAACTCCATAATAGAATTAAACATTTGCATTAATTGTTGGAAAATGAAAATAAAATAAATACAGTATGTGATCTACACACACTATTTATTTATTTAATTATTTATTTATTTATTTATTTGGAATTAAACAATTGGGATTATAAAGCCTCAAAATTTCGAAATGCAAACTGTTTGAGAGGACTACTTTTGTTCTTATTTTAAAATTCAATTGGTTTTTATCCTGAGGAAAGATGTTTAAAGCAACCAAAAACATTAGGAAAATTAAAATTCACACTGCATTTAATGGTATGATTGGTTGTTTTTGTAGTTTTTGACGAATGCAATTTTACTGAATAGTTTAATTTAAAGTATATGCTCTCCACCACAAATTAGTAGTGGTGGAGAGCATATACTTTGTACATTATACTTTCCTGCTTTCAATAGAGTCATTCCAGTCAACTATCTAACTCCTTTGAGGAGAAAATTTCTTAATTGAAATAATATGACTTCTGGTTTACATTGAAAATTCATATATAGTTAATTGGGCCTCTTGCCCCTAAGCTTTCCATATCTGGACTTCGCTTTGATCTACCTAACTCTGTTCTTTAGATTAGCAAAAGATGAACAGACAGATGACAGTGGGAATTTAAATGTTACAGTTTTTTCAAATTGCAGCTCAATAAAGGGAATTGAACAGCCTTACAACTGCGAGTTTACTTGGTAATATCAAATAAACTGAAAACTGTTTTTAATTTCTGCAGTGAGTTGTATTCGACTTACTTCCAACTGACTGAGTTGTTTTCAGTCAGTCAGGGAAAAGTGCAGGTTTTTATCCTGGAAAACCTGGAAATCTCGGAGAAATTGAAAATTGTTGGACACTGTTAATGAAATAAATATATACAGTAGAGTGTCAATTATCCGAAAGAATTCCAGTTGGCAAATTTAAATTTTAGCCAGTGCTGTGGCACTGCAATCTTTGGCTATGTCTTGGTCTACTCAAATATTTTACGTTTTTTATACTAAATTAACTTCTGAAGTATAATTTTTTTATTGTTTTTATATTTTTCAATATATTTATTTTGTTTGTACAAAACAAAAAAATAATTTTTAACGATACAATAGTCTTCGTTAGGCTTAACATCGACGAAAATTCAACGCGAAGCGACACGCAACGGAGAAAAATTTCAACATGGGATAGGTTAATGTATTTTTTCGTACATAATCGGTTATCCGAAACATNTATTTACACATAGAAAATATTAAATTTTTATTTATTACATATCCATTCTTTTATTCTCATCTTGAATATTGAACAAGTATTGTACATATAAATATCTGTAATTTTTTAAATAATAATTAACCAGTGATGAATGCAGTTTCCATTTAGCATGGTTGTATACGTAACGCAGTGATTTTCCATTGATTTATTGTGAACAGTTATGCAGCATGTAATTGCTGTTTCTTAAATTTGATGGTTCTGAAAAATCCTGTGACATGTCTGCTTGTGCCAAATTTTAAGGCTGTATATTGTTTAGTTTATGAGATATTGTTTTATTTACAGAACAATGGCCTTAACCCTTCTCCCATAGGAAGCCTCCCAAAACTTTATTATAGCATGGGCTAATGTGAAATAAGTTCAGCTGGAAACGAATGATGGAAGGTCTGAGATGTTCCTCAGAAGGATCAGAAAATATTTTTTTGTTCTTTTTGGGCACAAAATAAACCTGCAAGAAATTTAAAATATTGAAGGTGGTAGCACCCTAGGCGCAGCGCCAATTCTGAATTCTGATAGGTGTGCAGTGCATGCATGCAGGTGGCCAGAAGTTCACTTTAAAAAATATAATTTAATATTATATTAATATAGTGGTCAGCAATGAAATAGATTAATGTGTGCATGACAATTAGTGATGTAACTGTGCAATTTATAGATTAAATAATGCTGAAGCATGCATGTTAGGTGTTTTGCACCAGAAAATTTAGAGGATTCATCTGTTGAACAAAAGTAAAATTCATCAGTGGGAATTCCATAACCACTGTGAAGTTCTACATTTTAAATCACATATAAAAAACAAAAATTTGAAGTTTGCAAACTCCAAGCTATATTTATGCTAATGGCTTATGATTAAATTTAAGGTTATACTTACATAACTTATTGTGAATGGTTGTATTAAATAACATAAGTACAAGGTTTTATGTTGATGCTTGATTTTCATTCTGAATGCACTTTTATTCCCATATCATTAATCATAAAATTATACTTACACCATTATTTTAATGTTAACGGAACCAAAAGGAAATTTAAATTCAGAAGAGATGAGTACAATTTAAATTAATTTTTATATACACATATGTATATATTGTATTTATATACTAAATAAGAAAAATATCTTTAAATTAATTTCATTTTAATATGCAAATTCTGTTTTATGGTGACGCTAAAATATGACTTCAAACAAAGATGCCTGTTATTTACAGGACAGTTTGATTTGAATAAAATTAAAATAAATATATATCAAATATTTTTACGGACATTTTTTACCCCTGTCAACTATATGAAACTGTCATAAAACATACCAGTTAGCTCATATGGGTTGGGTTAGGTTGTAAATTTACTCACAATCAGTATCGATAAGGGAAACCAAATATCTGTAGTGCGCAGGCAACTAACATTCAAAAACCAGCTCTGCCTAGGCATATCTGAAGTATTAGAAGGAACCTAGGTCACCTAATATTGAATTTAATTTAATTACAAAAAATTTACAAAACTAAATATATAGAAATAAAGTTGTATCATTGGCATAAACTGTTTTGATTAATATTTTGTTAGGTTTGGAATATAATTTATTGAAATTTTTTTAACTTTTTCCACATTACTGGAATTAGAGAAATTTTACTTTTGTTACTGGTTCATCCAGACCTTCATAAGATAATGAGGATGAAGCTCAATATACTCCTGTCAGATCATTCTGAAGCATTTCTCAGGATTTGATCTGAATTCAGTTTCTTCAAAGCAGTTTTTATGCATCTCAATCATATTACTATTATAAAGGAATATTTAATTGTTAACCAGATAACTAATAATATAAATTTATGTGATTAATGTTTTTAACAGGTAAATTCTGTGCACATGCTACAAGAGCAGTTAATCTGACAGCTGTGAAAAAAGTTTTGANAATTCTTAAGCATAAAGTGCAAAGATCGTTTACCTAAATAACATAAACAGAAGTTGTATTTCTTTTTCTCTGTAATTGAAATATGATTTATTTGAAGAAATGATACATAGTAGCGTCTGTCTGTCGTAATCTTGAGTAATGTTATCAGAATTAGTACATTTCAAAGCACATAAGTTAATAATAACAATAATAATGAGGAGTAATTATATTTATTGAGCTATACATTTTTTTCTTATATTAATGTGTCAATAAAAATAGCATTTTTAAGCATCATAATCATATTTAAGTTACTTAATTAATTCTCCTAATGTTACAAGCACATCCTAATACAAGCACATCCTGTTGCATTAAATGATGTTATTTTACAAATATTGTTAGAATATGTTATGTAATTAGTTTAAAATATCTTTTAAAACAATTCTAATATCTTAGTATTAAAAAATTACTTCATAATTTCTTTTCAGGGATTGAGCAATTTAGGAAATACATGCTTTTTCAATGCTGTACTTCAAGTATGTTTATTATTATTATTATTATTTTTTTAAATAAAATTTGGATTTAACAGTTTTAATTTAAATTAGAAATAATGATAAATTTGCAGAATCTTATTCAAACTCCATGGCTTTATGAATGGTTAGAAGAACACTGTAAAAACGGCTATGTTTGGAGCATAACCATTCCTTCAACATCTCAGACAAATTCTACTGTAAGTTCTCACATAATAATAATAAAAAACAATTAATCACTATTGATGTTTATTTTTTAAAAAGTGATAAAATTACTAAGTAACTAACTTTGCAGGAAAAACTTGATATCACTTTACAAGAATGCGGAGAATTGACTCAAGCATTTATGTCATTTTTGCAAAAGGTTTGCAATAGTCAAGATGGTGTTATCAATCCAAGTCAGTTATTTGGACAAATGTGTAAAAAGCAAGTATTAAATTAATATATATATATAATTTATTAATTCTGTTTAATTGACCTTATTATAAATGAATTTTTTTTAACAAAGAGCTCCTCAGTTTAAAGGCTATCAGCAGCAGGACAGCCACGAGTTGCTGTGTCATCTGTTTGATGCTATGAAAAATGAGGAAATTAGAGTAAGTTATCGAAGAAAAATAAAATTATTTTTATGCAATTGATAGACTAAGCAAATCTTTCCTTTAATGTATTTATGACAAAATTGTTATAAATTATTTAAATAAGAACTTAATAATAAACTTATAAATATTATATTTTTGAAAGTAAAATTTACTTTGAGTAGAATGATATAATAATGTGGGTTATGATGACTATAATTGATTGTTAGTTGGTTTTAGAGCATATAATAGTTTTCTGGCGTTTGGCTTATTAATTGAATGCTCCTTACGTGATTTTTATATATATGTATATACAGGCTAAATGGTATTCAAAACGTTTCCTGAAAGTGGTAGTTATTCATAAACAGAATGCTGTATTTACAATTAATAGATGTGAGTGCAAACTTGCTGAGACTTAATTAACACATTGGCCAGGATGACATTAATATTTAAAAAATAGAAGAAACTATACACACTGCTGAAACTTATTTTATCAGATGTTTGCATCTAGCCCCATCAGACTTTTTTCTTTATTCTCAAATTTAAAAAAAAGACATTAAAGGTTTTGTTCAGATCAAGTGAAACAATTTTTAGTGCAGTGGTAGAATCAGAGAGCATTGATATCTACCAGAAAGGCTTAGAAGGGTGGTAACACCGTATGGAAAATGTTTTTAACTTAAATGGAACATATCATCATCAACCCTGGGCTCATTGCCTGTTGGTGTCTGATGCCTTTTCCACTATTTTCTTCCGTTTCTCTCTATCCATTGCTGATTTTCTCAATTCCTGTGCAGTACACTCGCTCCACACCACTTCTTCGCCAATCCATTCTCTATATGGTCTTCCTCTTTTGTTGGAACCATCCATAATACCATAGACTAAAGTCTTAATTTTTCTGTTTGGACACATCATTCTTGTAATGTGTTCAAACAGTTGACATTTCATTGTATAATTTTTTGTAAGAGATTCTTTTTCTTATATATCCTGTTATAAAGTTCTTTGTGACTTTCTGCATCCATCCTATTTGTAAGATCTTTTTGTAACAGTGTCTTTCAAATGCTAATATTTTTTTCCATATCTTTTGTTATTACTCAAGGCTCACGGGCATACAGCGTGCAGGAGAAGATGCAGGTGTTCAATACTTTTAATTTTACAAACTAATTACTTTACTGTTTTGCCTTGGCTATTCTAATCGCTATTTCTTTTTTGCAATCCAGATTATAGGTTAGTTTGCTTCCTAAATATGTAAAGCTCTACATTTTCAATTTCTTTCCCATCTACTAGGATGTTTCTTCTCATGTTGTTATCATCAAATATCATTGTCTTAGTTTTTACGCTATTGATAGTCAGTCCATATCTTTTTCCTTTTTCATTAAGCAGAATTCTTCATTTTAGCTTGCTTGTAGATCTTATGAAAGAAGTAATTTATAAGATTTTTATTTTATAATTATTAAAGAAGTCTCTACTCTTGGCATTTTAAGACTTTTTTTTAATCCAACTTTCAAATTAGCTGTCATTCATCGATTCATTTCTTTATTTAAATTGATGCCTTTCCAAAAATAAGTGTTATCTAATCAGATAATATTCTTTAGCTCTGATTTCCTCTTTGATTTTTTAGTAAAATTTTTCAAAAACTGTTAACTAAAATAGTTGTCTAAACAAAGAAATATTTTCAAAAACTTTTTTGGTTGATTTCTGTTGTTAAAATTAAAGTTTTGTTGGTTGGTTTTCAAAAAGTTTGCCTACTAGTTTCAAATTGTCTACAATTAATGTATTGTGTGTTGTTAATAATTATAAATTTCAAAATAATAATACATTTTTCATTCTAATAATAATGAAAAGATTGTTTGGAATTTATTATTATTAGTTGTCCATAAATAGTGAAATTTATATTTTAAATACTTTAAGTTCTTAAGGATATTACTTTGCATGCAATTTATATTCATAGTAAAATATTACCGAGTAAATAAAACTACTTAAGAATAACCATAACTGTAAACCAAAAATTGCCACTAATATATTGATAAGTTATATGTGTGCACACATACATATATTTGTCATATATGTAGTTTTATATATTTATAATAAATGTTTTTAAACTTTATATTTAATTCCAGAGGCAAAGAAATGGAATACTAAATTACTTTTTTAAAACACGTGGAAAAATTAAAAATGCCGATGACGAAACTAAAGCAAAAATAAAAGGTAATTTTTAAAAAATCTTATTACTTGCACATTCAAGTTGACTAAATGTTAATGAGAACAGATTTCAAGCAAATGTTTAATTAGAGAAATATTTTAGTTTCTAACATTGTTCTTCACATCATAGCATTAAGCCCAGTGTCTTGTCATACGTTTGTCGACGTTATATTTGGTGGCCAGCTACTAAGTACAGTCATGTGTGAAGAATGTGGAATGGTAAGAATACATTCTATTTAGACTGTTATTTATTTTATCAGTCCAATTAATTTTTTGTTTTCTTTCCAGTCATCTCAGAGATTTGAACCATTTTTAAATTTATCCCTGCCAGTTGCTGAAGAAAAAGTATGTATTTTACTTTTTTATTTTAATTGAAAAACTTATAATATTAATATTTGATTTTTTGTGATAAGCCTCTTCGACCCGGAGCACAAAAACGAAATGCTTCAGAGAAGGCCGATTTTGCTCGAGAAACTCACTGTAAACAAGAAGAAAAGAAACTTAGTAAACACCAAGAGACGAGAATGAAACGACAAGCAAAAAAATTAGCTAAAGTAAATTTATTTATTTTATTGATTGTTGAAAGATGTTACCCATTGAAAGTAATTTTAAGATTATAAATTTTTGAAAATTTAAGTTTAAAGAAAATTTTAAATTAATTTCAGTTTTCGGTTTAATGACTATGCCCTATATGCATTTCTGAGTTTTAAGTTTTCTGAATAGCATTTTAATGTATTGTCCAACCATGGATAAGAGAGCACTAGATGTTACTTTGCATGAGCAAAAAAAAAAAGACAACTCCATTATGAAAATAATGTAGCTGCTTCAGAAAATGTTAGTGTATGTCAGTAAACAAATTTGTAAATGAAATTAGAACTTAATTAATAGTTATAGTATTAACAATTTTTACTTTTCTTAGATTTTTTTAACATTGATTTTAATTACTTTTTAGAACCTATATTTATTACTTAAGTTGAAAAAATGCATAGCGATATTTTAAAATTTTTTTATAAAGGAAGAAAAATAAATGAATTTAATAATATACATAATTCTTTATACTCTGAAACTGTGTTTTTAAATTTTCTTTGGCACTCAAACACACAATTTGTGCTACTATTTAAACACGTGGCATTTTCTCATCTTTATTCAGTTGATACTGAATAAAGATGAGAATGAGAAAACGTCAAGTGTTTAAATAGTAGCACAAATTTTGTGTTTGAGCACCAAAAAGAAATACACATAATATAATTTTAGAGGACAATAAGTATAAATGAATAAATGATATGATCACATATGATAATTGGTAACATTTTGCAAATACTAAAACTCATCTAATATTTATTTATTATTAATTTTTTTTTTGAATTAAGCACACTTTCTATGAAAAAGTCACAAAAAAACACTTTTTTGATGGAAAAAAGAGATTTTATTTTCTATCTTATAATATAATTGAGATGGGTTGATAATGATAATAATAAGTGCAGAGCCCAAATGGTTAGGAGTTGAAATTTGGTACATAGGATACCTCATGAGAATGTACACTGAGAAGGGATTTTTAGAAATTTTCCCTGCAGGGAAGAGGGAGAGGATTAAGATTTACTGTGAAGAACTCAGCTTCTATTATACTATTTTAAATGCATTTTAATAGGGTATGCCATGAGAATACACATTAAGAAGGGATTTTTTGAAATTCCCACTGCAGAGGAGACAGAGGGTTAAGGATTACCCTGAAGAACTCGGCTTCTACTATACTATTTTACATGTCTTTTTTGCATTTATGTGGGAAATTGAACATATTTGTAGACCCTTCTAAAAATTCTCAATGATATTTGGTGTTTCATCGTATATAAAGTTGGTACGGGGAGTGCATGTGCATAAGTTCACTTTATTTGAACTCTTCGTCTTAATGTTCAAATTTATATTTATGAATGATTTGGGAAGATCTGTGGGGGCCGAGGGGGAGAAATAAAAAAAACTCAATGAATGATAGTATGCGATATATATCGTCATTGTCTCCATTGCCATCTGAACTGCCGAGCAGTAACATTCAACAACATGTGGAAGCAGTTGAGTCAGAGATAGATGCCTCATTTAGAACAACACAACCGGTTTATTAAACACAAAAAGAAGCTTACAAAATTTCTGCGATCTTGGAAGTTCTACGTCGGCTGTGGCCTCTGAGTCTTCTTCTCATTTCCAAGATAGTCCCATTTTGAAGGAATGTCCCTTGTTCGCAAATGAACAATTCCATCGACATCTCGATGACTCCAGGATGATGCGGTCGACTTCCGTTGATGGAAAGATGTCGATCCGAGGTCGGGAGATGCAGACGAAGATGAGCGCAAGACACACACACAACAATAGATCCGTCACTTGGAACTTTTGGGAGAAGAAGCCCTCGCGTCCTTGAATTCTCAGGTTTTATCCATTTTTCCTCCGATTCCACTTTTCGATTGATCTCTCTTCATCACCTCATGACAATTCAAAACCTTTCGGCATGCGGAGAGGTCAACATCGAAGTTTAATTCGATTCCCATCCTGAGATAGTCAATCTTCAATTATCCATTGTTCTATTGTTTAAAAGTTTGTGTCGTTTTCAGAAAGAAAAACTATTTCTAACTTCTATTTTTTTTCCAAAAAAAAAAAAAAGATAATTTTGTGTTTAAAAATAAATGATTTTAATGCGAATTTTTAGTGAGGTTTGGGCCTGTCCAGAGCCTCACAGATCCAACTTATTTCTCAAGTTTAGTAAACCTGAAGAAGAACCCAGAAGGGGTTATGAAAACGTTTGTTATTCATCACTTAGTGGCACTATACACGGGTTAGTGGTTGCTGTGAATCTTAACTATCGTTATCCCAGTGTGGTAAACAGATATCTAAAAATTTTCTACTTAGTCTCAGAAGAGGGGGAACCTAATTCTTGCACTTGGTGAAAACGGGTAAGGTCGGCTATAATCTTAATCTTTGCTATTGTTGCTTTTTGTCCAAGCAACACCAGGCACATCTGCTAGTTTCTTTATAAAAGGAAATGCATTCTGGGCCATTACTTTTCTTCAGTCCTTATTATGTATAGTAAACTAAAACTACATAAGAAATTACAGAACATATTTAATAGTTATTTACATACATGTACAACTCAAAAAGTAGAAAAAATTACATAAAACTAGCAAGTTCTCCGTTAAAATTTTGTGCTTAATTCTAATGAACAAAGAACCAAAATAGAGAACAAACAATTGAGTACTCTAATATAATAATAATAATAATAATAATAATAGTTTTTCTGGACATTTAATAGATTTAATTAATTTCATATATTGTATATTATGTATTTTTTAAAATATAACTATTATTAATTTATTTTACTATAAATTTCAGAAACAGATGAAAGCAGCTAAGAAAACAGCACTGACACTGGATGCAAGTTCAAAAGATGAACCATTAATAACAGAAGAACAAAATGAACTAGATGAAGAAAAATCTGGTAATTCTGAAATCAAATATTTAATAAAATCAATTTTGTTTTCTAAAATAAAATAATTTATATTCTGTTACAGATCAAAGTGAGGCGGATGTTGAGGATAATATTGATGTAGAACCTAAAGATGTTTCAAATAGAATTGATACAAAGTACAAAACAGTACAAAACAATCAGTCTGTAAATAATGTTAATGCATCTGAGAAGAATTCTTCTGATAGCGACAATAAAGATCAGGATGATATAATGATCTCTATGGAATATTTTTCATCTTTAACCCTGGAAGATTGTGACCAGGTTGAAAACACTGAACAAAATTGCACAATTGAATCATGTAATGGTGAAAATTTATGTAACGAACAGATAAGTGAAAGCAAAGACAGTCTCTTCGATGTGGATCAAGACAGAAACAGATCTCCAGAAGAGACTTCTTCTGTCAGCAGTGTGCCCGACAAAGACGAAACGCAATTCGGAAGTCCCGATTCGGGTATCAGCAACAGTGAAAGTGAACGCACTTCAAATCATGAACAATCCAGTCTCGCTACCATATCATCCAAAACACTTGCTCCGCGTTATCATCCAGCATCAAATGAATGTTCTGTTCTGTCCTGTTTATATCAGTTTACTGCTCCCGAACTCCTAATGGGCAATAATAAGTTTGGCTGTGAAAACTGCACTCGTCTTAAAAACAGAAACAAAATTTCTGACGGTAAGTGAACACAGAAAATATTTTATATAAAATTAGAAGAAAATATTCAATAACGTGATTATTATTTTAAAATTACAGAGAAGGTCACAACTGTTTTCAGTAATGCCAGCAAACAGTTCCTGATTTTGAGTCCTCCTGCCGTTCTGATTTTACACTTAAAACGTTTCCAGCAGGTGAGTGATATTACCTAGAATAATGTAAGGTACAAAAATATCTTTCATAAGATTCGTGTCATTTAAGATCTACGTAAACATTCTTTGTAGGTGGGCACAAATCTTCGTAAAGTGAATCGGCACGTCGAGTTTCCTCTCACATTAGACTTGGCACCCTTCTGCAGTTCTGACAGTCAAGTTAGTTTTTGCTGACAGAATAAATATATTTTGAAATAGCATTTACTTTATTCTAATTTTTATTTTTTTTTTTAACAGATCCTTCCTCAGCTAAGTAAAAATCAAAAGGAAATTCCCTATTCCTTGTATGGAGTAGTTGAACACAGTGGTCGTCTCACCGGCGGCCATTACACTGCATATGTAAAAACGAGACACAAAGCAGCAACAAAATTTGCATCCTTCTTAAGGCACGAACCTCTCAATCAGTCTGACATTATTACTTTAATTAAGAACTTTGGCAATACCACCTCCGAGAATGAACCGGTTTTACACACCCTAGAAGACTATGAAGAAAAATGGTACTATGTGAGTGACGGACATGTTAAACTCTCCTCCGAAAGTCAGGTTCTAAGAAGTCAGGGATATCTTCTATTTTACGAAAGGATAGTTTGATGAAGTCATCATGTAAAATTGTATTTTACGTAACTACAATATCAATCAGGTTTCTGTAAATGGAATTAAAGGTAAATAAATTAATTTGAGAGAGGTTTAACAGAGTCTGAGGAAATATTTACAAGATACTTTGTTTAATCTATACTAATAATAGTCTCTTTGTATTAAATTGCAGTGTCATTCACTATTTATAAATTGGTCACAAAAACATGGATGAACATGTTTATCCATAATCAGTAAATTTGATGCTGATCAGATAACTGATATAGATCTGAGTATAAAATTTCAAATACATTCCTCATCTGATGATGAAAACCAGTAAATTGTGCCGGTCTGCTATTCTGGGGACTTGATTTCAAGTTTTCATTGGCCAAGAAATTTTCGTATGTGAGTCAACTCAGATATACCATGCCTTGTCCATCATCACATGGCTTGATTCATAATGGGAATGAGAAAAAGATAATTCTACGTAACAATGAAAATGAAGTGTCTGATCACACTGTTACAGAACCTCCACAATGATCTGTTAGCATTTAGAGGATGTGTGGAAGAAAAAATTTTTCTAGAATGAGAACCGAAGCCAGATTTTGTGTACAAACACAATGGGCATGCCAACATCTGAATTTAGTATATGAAGTATGCTGCTGTAGTCAAATTGGCAAGTGAATGAATCAAATTTTCTGTAGTTAGTGTCTAACAGATGGCATAACCCTTCTGCTCTGGGGAACCTGGGATCAAATCCAAGTGAACAATTCTCCAGGAATTTTCATGGGGGCAAGTTGCCGAAGTTGTGACAGTTGGACAAAACCTGTGATGGGCATTGAAAAAGGCCCTCATAGTAGCCACAGGGAAGAGAGGAAAAACAAATACACAAGCTCCGTCACTTTGTAATTTTCATATTACTTTACCAAATTTAAAGTATTAATTTTAAGGCCCAGTTTTGTGAAATTAGGATTATTAAAAATGCAAGCAATCAATTACACCAAACACAGCATTAAATCTAAAATCTGCATAAATTGGATAACAATTTCCTAGCATTTTGGGCCTTATTATACCCAATCATCAAAGCCAGTTCTGATGATTGGGCCTGTAAGATAATTTCAAGGTATAACTGGTGCCTGTTAGAAGTTGAGTCTCAGGCCCTTACCCTTCTAAGGTCCCTTAAATATTCTGGGAACCTCAAAAGGAAGTTCTCTCTTAAATAATAAAATTATCCTTACTTTCGTGTATATAATCTACGGTTTGTGTTCAAAATCTTGAGAGGAGGAGCAGTATATATCAATTTTAAATTTGATTACAAGCTCATCAAACATCTTTTTTGTCTAAAGTCACTAACGGGATGGTCACGACATGGGCCTTCACAGATTTTGGTAGTGTTTGTATGGATAGACCTAGTGTGAATCATATCGGGCGTATCTCAAATGTTTTTTAAGAAAATCGGAGTTTGTGGGTATTAAGAGAGCATTTTATTCGTACCCGTCACGGGTTTGATCAAGCCCACAATTTAAGTGACGAGAGACAGGGCCTATCCGGGATTGATTGCTTGTGAAAAATTCTTAGGTTACCTTCCAGTCTGCCATGTCTGTGTTAATCAAGACATGTGTATAGTGTGTGTACAGTACGTTTGATGTCCATTTTTATAATAGTGGGCACCGCTGGTGCTATGTTCATAAAATAACAATAAAAATTGAATGCTTCTAAGTGACAAGCAGCTAAGTAAGTGAAACAATGGCATTGTTCTTTTCATACGAAACCATTTGTATTGTTTCTCTTGTGTGTATCGCAATATGCACAACCACCCATATTGTGGTACACACAAGGGAAGCGGTACTTTCATGCATGCGTAAACAAACAAAATGACGCCATTTTGATGTCAGAATTGACAGGCCCCACGAGAATTTGGAGTTGAATAAGTTGCAAACAGCTCTATAGTGTTATCATATCATCCGTATTAAGTTAAATCAATATTAAACTGTAGTAAAACTACACAAATTACTATTTCATTATGATTAAAATATGAAATTCTCGTATAAGTCGAAATTCCTAACTGGATCAAGTAAACTAAATGTGGCTCTTGTAAGTTCGAATATCATTCAATTTTTTAGCTTTCTGCCCTTTGACCACTAAGAAGGCCTTTTGAGAATACTCATCGTGGGGTCGGCCATGCTTACAATGGGACAATGGTAATGAAGAACGGGGCACCTCTTGAAAAATTCAGTCTGATTTTATTCGTGTATGGCAACGCGACGGATGGCCGACCCATTGGAGAGGCACGAACCCGCGGCCAATTACCAGTGTTCAGTGGTTTTATCCACTCGGTGATTGGTTGGCTTTTATTCTGGAAAAAACAAAAAGTAATAATTTTATATAAGAAGATATGCCCGATACGTTGGGCCCGGAAAATTCAGATTTTATGATGCGGGCGTGTGGCGATCTGAATTTTTCGGGGGCGGTCCGTCCTGATATGTCGGGCCCCGTTCCTCACCGCCCGGCCGCCCCATTATGGACCTGGCCGAACCTATAATGGGCTTGCCGACAAAGATCTTAGTGCCCAAAGGGCGGAAAAAATTTTAAGTTAAAAAAATTCATAAATAAACTACTGTATACCGCTCTCGCATACTGAAATTGGAGGTGGCGCCACCGTATCACTAATCGAGTTATACGAAATCTTATTAAAGTTTTCAAAATATTTATTTTTCGTTATTCAGTAATGTTATTATTAAACTAATTTTATTTCTTTTTTGTTGTTGTTGTTGTTACTAGTATTAAATTATGTCCGTTCTGTATTAAACATATTAAATTATTTTAATATTTTGAACTGGCAACACTTTACCGAACATTACGAGAAAATGGCGGACGTCGAAGCGAAAAACAAACGACAGGAAGCTCTGAAGAAATTTAAAGAACTTCACATGAGAAGGGTAATTATTAAGTATTTAACGTTANTCGACGAAAATTCAACGCGAAGCGACACGCAACGGAGAAAAATTTCAACATGGGATAGGTTAATGTATTTTTTCGTACATAATCGGTTATCCGAATTATCGATTTACCGAACAACCCCAGTCCCCAATTGATTCTGATAAACGACGCTCTACTGTAATGTATCACATTATTCTAAATTAATTTACATGCAGTTGACACTTTAAACTTCAATTGTTATATTTTAGCTGTTATCATTCAACCGCAACAAGAAATATTAAAAGTAAAGCAGAATGATACTGATCAGAAAGAAGAGAAGGAAAATAAAGTAACTGAAAAGAAGATAGTTGATTCAAAAAAGAGGATACCTGTAGAAAAAAAGAAGACCATTGAGAAAGTGAAAGTAAGTTTATATATTATTTAATACTTGTTCCTGTTTTTTTTTTTTTTTTTAATTAGTTGATGCTTATGTTTTTAACATATTACTATGTTGAGTTGAGATGTTTTTGGTGATATCTTAATTGGTAAATGTGTTTAAATTCTTTTATTAGTTTTTAAACTCTGTTCTAGGTGCTCAATTAAATGCTCTTTTCTGGAGATCAGAATAAAGTTATTCAAAAATTATATTAGTGGTTATGATTTGATTAACATAAATTAATCATTTTATGAAAATCAAAAATTGGATACTTCCTGAAATAAGTGTCTTTTTTTCTGGGAGAAAGGAGGGGGAGGAAAATTGGTATAGTTCTAAATAAAATAAATTCTTAAGCATAAAGTGCAAAGATCGTTTACCTAAATAACATAAACAGAAGTTGTATTTCTTTTTCTCTGTAATTGAAATATGATTTATTTGAAGAAATGATACATAGTAGCGTCTGTCTGTCGTAATCTTGAGTAATGTTATCAGAATTAGTACATTTCAAAGCACATAAGTTAATAATAACAATAATAATGAGGAGTAATTATATTTATTGAGCTATACATTTTTTTCTTATATTAATGTGTCAATAAAAATAGCATTTTTAAGCATCATAATCATATTTAAGTTACTTAATTAATTCTCCTAATGTTACAAGCACATCCTAATACAAGCACATCCTGTTGCATTAAATGATGTTATTTTACAAATATTGTTAGAATATGTTATGTAATTAGTTTAAAATATCTTTTAAAACAATTCTAATATCTTAGTATTAAAAAATTACTTCATAATTTCTTTTCAGGGATTGAGCAATTTAGGAAATACATGCTTTTTCAATGCTGTACTTCAAGTATGTTTATTATTATTATTATTTTTTTTTTTTTAAATAAAATTTGGATTTAACAGTTTTAATTTAAATTAGAAATAATGATAAATTTGCAGAATCTTATTCAAACTCCATGGCTTTATGAATGGTTAGAAGAACACTGTAAAAACGGCTATGTTTGGAGCATAACCATTCCTTCAACATCTCAGACAAATTCTACTGTAAGTTCTCACATAATAATAATAAAAAACAATTAATCACTATTGATGTTTATTTTTTAAAAAGTGATAAAATTACTAAGTAACTAACTTTGCAGGAAAAACTTGATATCACTTTACAAGAATGCGGAGAATTGACTCAAGCATTTATGTCATTTTTGCAAAAGGTTTGCAATAGTCAAGATGGTGTTATCAATCCAAGTCAGTTATTTGGACAAATGTGTAAAAAGCAAGTATTAAATTAATATATATATATAATTTATTAATTCTGTTTAATTGACCTTATTATAAATGAATTTTTTTTAACAAAGAGCTCCTCAGTTTAAAGGCTATCAGCAGCAGGACAGCCACGAGTTGCTGTGTCATCTGTTTGATGCTATGAAAAATGAGGAAATTAGAGTAAGTTATCGAAGAAAAATAAAATTATTTTTATGCAATTGATAGACTAAGCAAATCTTTCCTTTAATGTATTTATGACAAAATTGTTATAAATTATTTAAATAAGAACTTAATAATAAACTTATAAATATTATATTTTTGAAAGTAAAATTTACTTTGAGTAGAATGATATAATAATGTGGGTTATGATGACTATAATTGATTGTTAGTTGGTTTTAGAGCATATAATAGTTTTCTGGCGTTTGGCTTATTAATTGAATGCTCCTTACGTGATTTTTATATATATGTATATACAGGCTAAATGGTATTCAAAACGTTTCCTGAAAGTGGTAGTTATTCATAAACAGAATGCTGTATTTACAATTAATAGATGTGAGTGCAAACTTGCTGAGACTTAATTAACACATTGGCCAGGATGACATTAATATTTAAAAAATAGAAGAAACTATACACACTGCTGAAACTTATTTTATCAGATGTTTGCATCTAGCCCCATCAGACTTTTTTCTTTATTCTCAAATTTAAAAAAAAGACATTAAAGGTTTTGTTCAGATCAAGTGAAACAATTTTTAGTGCAGTGGTAGAATCAGAGAGCATTGATATCTACCAGAAAGGCTTAGAAGGGTGGTAACACCGTATGGAAAATGTTTTTAACTTAAATGGAACATATCATCATCAACCCTGGGCTCATTGCCTGTTGGTGTCTGATGCCTTTTCCACTATTTTCTTCCGTTTCTCTCTATCCATTGCTGATTTTCTCAATTCCTGTGCAGTACACTCGCTCCACACCACTTCTTCGCCAATCCATTCTCTATATGGTCTTCCTCTTTTGTTGGAACCATCCATAATACCATAGACTAAAGTCTTAATTTTTCTGTTTGGACACATCATTCTTGTAATGTGTTCAAACAGTTGACATTTCATTGTATAATTTTTTGTAAGAGATTCTTTTTCTTATATATCCTGTTATAAAGTTCTTTGTGACTTTCTGCATCCATCCTATTTGTAAGATCTTTTTGTAACAGTGTCTTTCAAATGCTAATATTTTTTTCCATATCTTTTGTTATTACTCAAGGCTCACGGGCATACAGCGTGCAGGAGAAGATGCAGGTGTTCAATACTTTTAATTTTACAAACTAATTACTTTACTGTTTTGCCTTGGCTATTCTAATCGCTATTTCTTTTTTGCAATCCAGATTATAGGTTAGTTTGCTTCCTAAATATGTAAAGCTCTACATTTTCAATTTCTTTCCCATCTACTAGGATGTTTCTTCTCATGTTGTTATCATCAAATATCATTGTCTTAGTTTTTACGCTATTGATAGTCAGTCCATATCTTTTTCCTTTTTCATTAAGCAGAATTCTTCATTTTAGCTTGCTTGTAGATCTTATGAAAGAAGTAATTTATAAGATTTTTATTTTATAATTATTAAAGAAGTCTCTACTCTTGGCATTTTAAGACTTTTTTTTAATCCAACTTTCAAATTAGCTGTCATTCATCGATTCATTTCTTTATTTAAATTGATGCCTTTCCAAAAATAAGTGTTATCTAATCAGATAATATTCTTTAGCTCTGATTTCCTCTTTGATTTTTTAGTAAAATTTTTCAAAAACTGTTAACTAAAATAGTTGTCTAAACAAAGAAATATTTTCAAAAACTTTTTTGGTTGATTTCTGTTGTTAAAATTAAAGTTTTGTTGGTTGGTTTTCAAAAAGTTTGCCTACTAGTTTCAAATTGTCTACAATTAATGTATTGTGTGTTGTTAATAATTATAAATTTCAAAATAATAATACATTTTTCATTCTAATAATAATGAAAAGATTGTTTGGAATTTATTATTATTAGTTGTCCATAAATAGTGAAATTTATATTTTAAATACTTTAAGTTCTTAAGGATATTACTTTGCATGCAATTTATATTCATAGTAAAATATTACCGAGTAAATAAAACTACTTAAGAATAACCATAACTGTAAACCAAAAATTGCCACTAATATATTGATAAGTTATATGTGTGCACACATACATATATTTGTCATATATGTAGTTTTATATATTTATAATAAATGTTTTTAAACTTTATATTTAATTCCAGAGGCAAAGAAATGGAATACTAAATTACTTTTTTAAAACACGTGGAAAAATTAAAAATGCCGATGACGAAACTAAAGCAAAAATAAAAGGTAATTTTTAAAAAATCTTATTACTTGCACATTCAAGTTGACTAAATGTTAATGAGAACAGATTTCAAGCAAATGTTTAATTAGAGAAATATTTTAGTTTCTAACATTGTTCTTCACATCATAGCATTAAGCCCAGTGTCTTGTCATACGTTTGTCGACGTTATATTTGGTGGCCAGCTACTAAGTACAGTCATGTGTGAAGAATGTGGAATGGTAAGAATACATTCTATTTAGACTGTTATTTATTTTATCAGTCCAATTAATTTTTTGTTTTCTTTCCAGTCATCTCAGAGATTTGAACCNGTCTAATGCAGGTGGTCGCCTAAGCAGTTTTCACTGTAATAAAAAAAAATAATTAAATATTAATTCATAAAGATGGATTCTAACAAAGTTTTTAAACATTGGTGAAAAATTTTTATTTGGGAACTGATGCTTATATACATAATTTGATTCAAATATACCAGCAATATAAAGAATTATATTGATGTTATACATACATAATTGTACATGTTTAATTGTTAGTTCATAGTTAATCTTCTGCATTCAAAAAAAAAAAAATGTCAATAAATTAAACACAAAAATAAAAATTGTGATCATATTGTCTGTCATTATATTTCACTGGAAATGATTGACTATCTCATACTTCTGTTCATTTAATGTTTAAAATGTAATTTCACATTATATTTTAAATGAGTGCCTCACACTTCCTCTAATTTTTACAGTTCTATAGAATTTATTTGTAAAAAAAAAATATTTCTTTAATAAAATTCAAACATCATTTAAAATTTTTTTAAAATTCTTAAGTGTAATAATAATATACATGAAGCAGCACTTTTCAAATTCTTTTCTTGATTGTTTTGATTGTATTTTGCAAATAATAATGACAAGTTTGCATACTTTAGAAAGTTAAGAACATGAATTCATATCGAGAAGAAATTCTTTGAGGGAAAATTTCTTTAAAAATTCAAAACATTTGCTTTTTACTAACAATTGTAAAATATAAATGTGTATGTTTGATTTCTATATATCTTTGATAGTGTATCCCAGACTTAAATTTATATATGTATAGTACAGATCTATATGTATGATATACAATATATTGTATATCATACATATAGACATTATTATAGATAACTGATATACAATATAGACGTGTTATAGATAATTGATATACAATATATTGTATATCAGTTTCTATATATTTTATGTATTATAGATATCAATCCTTTTTATACACTGATTCCAAACTTGCAGATTTACTTATTTGCAATTATAAAAGGATAACCCATTTCACAATACATTGTCTGATTTATTTTTTTGAAAATATTAAAACAAGACTGCATCTCTCCCTGGTGTATAATGTTAATGTATACATTAATACACTAATGTAAAAACTAACATTGAGATTTATGAAGATTTAAAGGAATCTGTAAAAAAAAAATTGTTAAATGGGAAAGAAAGTACATTACTTGAGTTTTTACTGTATTTAATTGCATTATTTAAGTGAAATAGCTAAAATTATTATGTATTTACAGTAGAGCATCGATTATCCAACCCCCAATTAACGGTCACATCGGTTAACCGACCGTTCTAGTTAGCAAAATTTCAAATGTCCGCTAGTGATGTGGCATTACAATATTTGGCTATGTCTTGGCTACTTTAATATTATTTTTGTTAAATTTTTGCGTGTTTTAGCTGGCAACAACGGCTCGACCATTGAAGGGAGGTCAGTATTTAAATGAGATTTAGTTTTCTAATTATGAGTGGTTGTTTGTTTCGTGAGCAATAAAATAATTTAAAAATAATTTTTAACAATACAATAGCGACAATTATTATTTTTAAGAAAAATTCATTAGGCTAAACATCAATGAAAATTCAACGCAAAGTTGGTTAATAGCAATATACTAATAAACTAATTACATGGGATATAGTAATATTCTAATATACTATACTAATAATGTATTTTTTTTTTTCATTCTTTTCGGTTATCCGATTTTTTCAGTTATCCGACCAACCTGAGTTTCCAATTGAGTTGGATAATCGATGCTTTACTGTATATTCTGAATCGTTGTAGCAATAGCGCGAAGTTTGAAGGAAGATGGAAGGAAGAAGAAAAAGGAAACGCGATTTTATAGAATCCTTCATAGAAGAAGTAAGGAAATATCCGCATTTGTACGATAAGTCGCACAGAGACTATAAAGACGCAACGATGAAGAGAACGATATGGACCGCAGTGGGAGCGAAATTCGGAATGACCGGTGAGTCGGTGTCGAAGTAGCTTTAGCGTTCTCGTCTCGGCATTGTCATAAACACGAGTGTTCGTTTAAACAGAGGACGAGGCCGTGAAGAAGTGGCGGGTGCAACGAGACCGCTACAGGAGAGAGAGTCGTAAGATAAACGAAAGTATTTTGGACGGCACCGGATCTATCGATAAATACACGTCCGGTTGGGAACTGTTTCTCATCATGGATAGTATTTTAGGAAAAAATCCTCTTCCGGATGACAAGTAATTATATATATTTTTTTTGTTTTGCAAGTTTTGATTAACCATGGTGATCGGATTCTCTGTTTCGGCACCTTTCCTCCCTGGAGGGATCGGTCGGGGTGACTCAATGTTTTGTTCTTTGTTATGGTCCGAAAACTGGAGGCCGTTTGATGATACGAGTTACAATAACCATGATTTTTGGGATCGTTTACATGAGGTTTATATTAAGGCAGGTATTTAGATTGTTCACCTGAATCAGTCTGATTGATTGTTTCATTGAAATTAGAGTTATTGATTCAATCATACTGAATGAATGTAGAATTAGTATCCAGTTGATCATACAAGATCAATTTGATTGATTCGGCTTGATTGCAGTTGAAATATGTAAGATGTGACGTTCAGAATGTCTAGCATCATTGTGAGTGCCAGATTTTTCAGCATTTTGGAACTCACAATGGCATGTTGGACGAGTGTCCTTTGGGGATCCAAAATCCGGTCACCATAGTTAAACATATATTTTTGAATCAATACTTAATTACTTAAAGGAATTTTATTTCTTCACAGAATTATCTCTAAAAATACAGATATTTCAGATGAACCGGTAGAAGAAATACTTCCAGATATAAAGGAAACTCCCAATAGTTACTTATACCTGGAAGGAGCTATTGAAGAAGATATAAGGTAAACAGTTTATTAAAATTCCTGTCTAATGAATCATTATTATATATTTAATTTACTTCGTACTCTATTATATATATATATATATATATATCAGAAAGATCTCTTGTTTATATATATATATAAACAAGAGATCTTTCTGAGTAATGTTGAAATGTTTCATGTTTAAAAGACAATTTTAAAAAATGTGTGCACATGCCAAGTACTCTTATCTCTCAAGGGAGTTTTTGTGCAGTTTAAGTGAAACTTTTTTGCATTTTCTTACCAAAAATCAGCAATGAGTTGCTTAACTTTCCTGAGAACATTTAAAACTGGATGTGGTATCATCTGTTATGTTTTATTAAAAACTTTTCATATTTTTAATTATTATAAAACATCAATTTATTTTGAAATCAAGGATGAGTTTTATAAAATATTGTAAATGCTGATAATGAGTAAAATCATCATTAAGTCCGACCATACTGGAGATACATACTACCCCCATTATCTCCCCACCCCCTCGACCTTTAACCATCAAAATTTAACACGTTAACCACTATGCAATGCACCGGCGGTTGTACTAATTAGGGCTGTACAGAGTCATCAGACCGTCCGATGTTACTATAGCCAATGTAGTTTCACTCAAGGTTAAATTATCCTGGCTTCGTAAGATTTGTTTTACATCCTAGTGGTGCCCTCTTGTGCACGTCTATAAAGTTGGCTCCGACCGCCGGTGCATATTTATGGCCCTAATCAGTACTACTGCCAGTGCATCGGATAACAGTTAATGTGTTAATAGCATCAGTCCCCTAATAAACAAACCTCCCTGCAAAATTTCAGAAATTTTCGACAAAAGACACAAGATATAAAGTCCCATATTAAGCTTCAAAGAGGGTGAAGAAAATCATGCCTTCCTCCACACACACTAACATCCATAATAGAAAAAAATCTCCCAAGTTTTTTTTCATTTCTCAACATTTCAAGGACCCGAGTACAAAAATGTAAAAAATCTTGGGGTTCATTTTTGACCAATTGCCATACTTTTTCCCTGTTATATATAACAAAGCTGGGAAAGTAAAATATTGACTTACAGGTGTCTTTTTGAGTGGTTTACATATTGTCTCAAGTTCTTTCTATGTTTGTCTTAAATTTAATACCTATTTGTGGAAAAATTGCAACAGAGAACAAAAAAATTCTGTTAATGCATTAATTTCATTTTCCTAAAATGTAAAGTCTTCCTGTTACATGAGAGAGAAATTTAAATAATGTGTCATATGATGCTATTGGAATGATGTTGGAACGTGATGATTGACCAGTCAGTCGATTTTATGTTATATACTATTCCCTACTCAATAACTTTTTTTTACACTTTTTAAAAGTTAAATATCAATGGATATTTAAAAATTTTATAATACGGTGCCATGTATGTTGTCTGTGGGCACTTAGAGGGCTTTCTTCCAGGATATGTTGGGCCTGATCCTAACCATCTGTGTGGAACTCAGATGGTTAGGATCAGGCCCAACATATCTAGGACAGACTGTGAAAAATTCTTGAGTTCTCTGGATTTGAATCTGGATACATCTCTAGAGCTGTGGGCTGATGCCTTGATCGCCTCGGCTACTCAGCTTGCCGTATATTTATGTTTCATTGTAAGCAGACAGTTTGCTTCATTTTGATGTTTCTACCATGTTGATCTACTGACATTTTTGTTTTCTATTTCTGTGTGTGACAACAGAAAAATTGAGCATTTCTTAACTCAATTTTATGGACTGTTTCTACTCTTTTGAAACAGAAAATTTGTTTTCTTTAGTTCCTTTCCATAAATGGGACTGCAGCTGCTTCAGCCATAGTTAATGTTGAAAATTTGTTTATTGGAATTCTTTACCATTATTACATCAGTACAAATGTCATTCATGCTTGTTCTTCGTTCTAAACAATGTTTTAAAATATGTCCATATGTGCAGAAGCAGAGTAATTGTTTTGTTGTTTTAAAATAAAATTGGACTTGTAATTTTTGCCATTTTAATTTACCATATGATACAAGTTCTTGGCACACACCAAATTGTGCATGACATAACTTCCATCTCTGAAGTTTCCCTCTTTCACAGACATTGCCACACTAAAAAACCATTTGTTCTGTCAAAGAAATTTCACTTCAAAATGATTTCATACAATTTACTTTATAATTACAGCTGTCCCTTGATAGTCCGACGCACCTCCCGTCAATGTACCCGTCCCCGTTACGTGTCTGCTTGCACAGAAGCATGTCGCGACATGAATCTTCCCACCCAATTCTTACACGATGACACACATTTCCTGTATTTTCCGTGAGCAGTTCTGTTCGAACAGTTGGAGTAGGGAATATTGTAGGCTACTGCTAGCAAAACAATGCCAAATATGTAATCATTTTCAGTAATCCAACACTCCTTTGGTCCCATACCTGTCGGATTATCAAGGGACAGCTGTACTAAAATAATTTTTTTGCTAGTTTTTGTACAAAAATATATTTAAAACTAATATCAGATTTTTTCTTTGTAACGGATACTTACAAATTTATCTAATTTATATTCCAGTAATACTATTCCAGATTCTGGGAACAGCATCAGAAAACAAAAATTGGGGAAAAAGCAAAAATGTGATGAAGATAAGATCTTAATCAAAGAGACATTTTCTTTATGTAAAGAAACATCCAATGAATTTAGCAGTTATATCAGAGATAATAGCAAGAAATTAGACAGAGTTGGTCATTTCTGCGCTTACTTGGAATGCAGGTTGAGGAAATTCAATGAAATTGAACAGTTTGAAATCATGCACGATATTGAAATACAGCTTTTAGAAAGAGAAAGTAAAATATATGTAAGAAAATAACATATTTTTAATAAAAAAAAAAGTATTGCTTTTATCAAATGATTGTTTTTATTTATTCATACTAATTCATTTTATGTACAGATATGTGCCGCTTAACAACAGAGATATGTTTCGAAAAATGTATCATATGGCGTACATCTTAGTATGTTTAGACAAACCACATATTGTACTGTCTAGTATTCACATAGACAATACGTAGCATTTATGTATCTAAACATATGTAAACATAGAAGAGGTAGTGGTGACTACAAATTTCATTTCATTATAATCTTACAGGACTTTATTGTATGTGCACTCTGTCGTGAAGTGGTAAATACCTTTATATATACAGTGGGTAATCGGTTAATGAACAAATCGGATAATGAGCACTTTCGCAAAAGATTTTTATGTTCGGACAACAGATACATGATCGGATAACGAACACCTCACAGAACAAATACAAGAAGAAGCAATGTAAAATAATGAATACTGATTGGTCTTCCCTTGTTTTCAGACAACAATTCAAAACTTTTTGGAGTGCAGGAAATGTTGACATTTACACTCAACCCAGTATATACTGTTCAGATAGCATTCCTTCAAACTTTGAAACTCTCTCTTGTAATTCCAGCCTTTTATTTTTCTGGCAGAAACAATTCTTTTATAGTATTTGTGAGACTGTTGAGCGGGCACTCATTAAGTTTTGCGTAGGTTTTTATTTTCAAAAGGTGAGAGTATAATAGCAAAGGTAGAGAGTGGGCAGATGTCTGATGTTGCTGGGTAGTATGGCTTGATCAGGTCGACAGTAGGCCGCAGTTCAATCTTATCTAAGTAAGATACTGTATTATCAAGAAGACTCAAGCAGCTTAAGGAGTAACAAAAAATCACATCTGAGAAATAAAGAACATTGAAGAGCTCATAATGGAACCTGAAATGGATCTGACGACGGAAGAACGCCAAGAACTCTTGAATGGAGAACAAGAAACTCGACGAGATATGTTTTCTTCTGAAAAAGAGATTTAATGTTGATATTTGCTATTAAACAATTTTTGAAGAAGTGGGATGATGCCAGAACAACGGTCTTAGAATGGCATCCAAACCAGGTTGAGGTTAATAGGCTTAGGGATATCTACAATTACAATGCTATTAATTACTTCTGAAAAATCTTGAAGAAGAGAGAAAAGCAATTGACATTGGATAGATTCTTTAATCCCCACAAACAGAAAAAACATGACTAATAAAAATGCAAGACTGCATATATATGTATTTTTACTATTACGTATAAACGTAATAAATAAAAATTGTAAAAATAAAATATCCAAAAAATAAAAAAGTATATATTTTTTATTTTTTGGAGTCTTCGGAACGAATTAATCAAATTCCCATAAAAACCTATGGTAAATCAATAATCGGTTAGCGAACAATTTGGATAACGAACAAAGTCTTGGAGCAGATTATGTTCGCTAACCAATCACCCACTGTATAATGTACGGAATGTTGATAGTAGTTGATAACGTACAGTATGCCAAACTTCCATATTATACATCTGAAATCAAACCTATTACCAATACTTTGATATAACAACAAGTTACCACTATTAATGCAGGCATTCCTCACATTGTGCAATTAATTGTTCCATGAAAGTATCACGCATGGTGAATTTACCTTTCATGATTTACAAATATATTTCTAATTACTACATATGTAACTAGTAATTTAATTGAATTATAAATCAGCCGATACAATACAGTAACAGTGTCAGGAGCAACTGTTTCTGCTCCTTTGAATGCTCTGGCTCAGTAGATGGATGATTTTTGACTTGAAGAAATGATCGTTAAATCAAGACCTATCGTAATCACAAAGAACTAATGATAATTACTATTAATTTCCATTTTATAATTTCAGCAAGAAAAACAATAATTCTCTGTTAAACAGCTTGCGTACAGTTCAAACCCTTAAACTGTTTTCATCATGTGCGGAGATGTTTCTTCAGTGTCGCATGAATTATCGGGCTACTTTTTAGGCATATAATCTATATTTAAGTACAAGAACTGATTCTGAAATTCCGCTTCTGACTCAATGGCCCACTTTATAAAGTACAAAAATTGCTTTGGTTTTAATAGACTTATGTCTAATTCTTCTATTTTGTCCTGCTCTAGGAACAGTCACACTCACAGTTAAATTTTAAAAGTGAATTGCTATTCAAAATATGTTTGAGTAAGTATATTAAACAATCGTGAAGTAAAATCGTCCGTGTTGTAAATGTGATTCATTAATTAAAGTTCCATTATTTCCTAAGAATTTGTTTGAAGAAATAGTTGTCTAACCCAAAATTTTCTTTCTTAAACCTTCAAAATGATGCACAAAACAAAAGGAAATGTGCTCTATAATGTTAAATAAGTACAAGCACATATATTCTTGTCAATTATACTACTGTCCATCTTAGAATGGTGTCGTTTTGCAAGTACTAATAGTAAACAATGTTTGGATTTTCATTTTCTACAAATTGGAAGGCTCGTATTTTCAGAAACGGAATCTTCCTTTGTTTTCCATCGCAACTTTTCCGCAAACGGGACCTGGCTTTAAACACTCGAAAACACATTGATCAATGCAAAAAATTATAATTTTTAGTACACAAAATGATCTGTTTAGAGTTAATGATCAGAATTATGCAAAGTAAAGTTCATAGAATCATTTTATTATATCAAAATGATTTATCCAAGCAGATACATCATTTTGTGTTTCCACACAATTTGATAATCACTGTCTTCAAAGCCATTTTCTTCAGTTTTTGCAAGACAGCAAATAGTATTTTATCTAAATATTTGGGCTATTTTGAAGCTTAATTCAATTGTCTAGTTGAAATTTTAAGCATATTTTATATTTAAAAATCAAAATTTGAGGTATGGGTAACCAAGAGTACGTTCGTAAAGTCTAATGAGTTAAATGAGAATGATGTCATCGTCATTCCTATTTCGTTAGACTTTTTGACTGATTAGTTTAGAACTAAATGGCTGTTTCTAAAATCAGATATGAATGTTACTAGTACTGCCTTATCCAAAATATTTTTCTTAGAAATAACTGTCCACTCAAAACAATCTATCATTTCACCTTTTAATTTACAATTTGAACACTCGAGTAGATTTAGAAACATCGATATCGTCGGATGCCATTTTCTTAACGAAGTAAACTAACTCTTTCCTCCATGATCTTTGTTAGAGTTTCATTTGAAATGTCATCACCGCAGAGCATGCGCACTGAGCGAGACTACTAATATTTGACTGACTCGTTACTAACGCGTTTGACTTTACGAACGTACCCCAAATATCTATAGGTTGAATTTCTCAGGTTATATTTTGGCTAAACATTAAAGCTAAGTAAATTTGGACCAAATTTAGGCCATCATCTTGTACTGATTTAAATAATTTTTCCATATGGTTATGGTTATATAATCATGACCAAGGACACCTTTGCACTTAAAGTCTATCTAAAATATAGTCTGAACTTTAATATGAAATCCGGCTTGCAGATATTTAGTATCTGAGCTGATGAATGAATATTCTAAATAATTCTCTAAATGTAAAATGCAGTTCTTTGCTTCTTTGGGGAACACGATTAAAACTTCCACTGAAACCTAATAGTATTAAGCTTTCCAATTGTCTTTGGGTGAAAAATATAAGCATAGCATGGATTCTAATGTTAGAATCATGTCATGCACCCATCAGAATGGTTTTGGAATGAATCACCCATCAGAATGGTTTTGGTACCTCAGTATAGGCTGGAAAGATGAAAAGTAGTGGGGTTTTAATGGAATTCTTAACCACATTCAGAAAAAGCAGAGAACTGCACATGCTAAGGATGTAAGTTATCTGCTTACTGTTAAGTTATATATTGTTAACCTTCTTACATATTACCACAATATTGTATATACAGTATTTAAGATGCCGGTAAATACATTATTTGTAGGAATGAAACAATGATACATTCAAATTTCGTGAAAAACTACACAAGTTTTACACACATGACAAGTAATTAATAGACATCCAGAACTTCTGTAAACAATCGGGCTATAATTTGGAAATATTAATTAAGAATTACAAATGAATTTGACACTAGAGGGAGGCATTAGGTGCCATCTTGTATTAAAATTAATAATTATAATATTTAATTAATTAATTTAGATTAAACTGGAAGAAAAGAATCTGCCCGAAGCGGGACTCAAACCCACAACTCCCGCTTACCGTGTGGATGCATTGCCAGTTATGCTATCCGGATCCTCCGATCCGATTTCCTCTTCCAGTATATATAACTTTAATAAATAACCATTGTCGGTTATTACGGTGCTGTTCAATTATAATTCTTAATTAATATTTTCAAATTATAGCCCGATTATTTACGGCAGTTGTGGGTCTAATTGCTACGCATCGGGTTTTGGTTGGTGTTTATATTTGCATAAGTAATTAATTTTTAACTTCATTTTTGAAGAATGAAGCTCGGAAATTAAATCATCAAGAAGTGGTGGAGGAGGATCGTAGACAGAAGCTGCCAAAAAATTGGGAAACTAAACAACAGTGGGCAGACTGGAAGTTACAAGAAGAGGAAAAACGTCAGGTAAGATGAATTTCTTCCAAATAAAACAAAATGCTTGATGTGTTCATACATAGTAAATGCAATGTGAAAACAATAATATATAAAACAAAGAAATAAATCAGTACTTGAGCAGAGAAGTACATGTTATACTCAGAAGATTCCTTATTTTGTACCATCTTGAAGGTAAAATGGGTACTTGGTTCCCCATTTCCACATTGAAAACAATCAACTTGAAACCTATTTTAATGCAGTTGCTGTCTGTCAAGTCAATTATTATGGTGGTAGACCAAAGAATTATAGTAGCCGGTCGTCTCAAGATGCTGGTTTGTTGCTTAAAGCACTGTTGCTGCTACACAATAAAGGTTGTGAGCAGTGTGGCCAAGCATTAATTTCTTGAACACTTGGCACTGGTAAATTCTCTTCTCATCCTCCATATAAGACTTGTATGTTTTCCAAATAAATCTTAAAAGTGAAACTCTTCTAATTATTACTCAAGTATGTAAGGGTTAAGAACTCTTTCAAAACATATTTTGCTGTCTGAGTATTAGTCATTCTTTGAGCGACATGGTTTATATACTAGAACTTAAATTTGATTATCAGTAAAATTAAGTAATATTTATGTAAATTTTTTGTAGAATGCTGCCGCTACTGGTGAAGACTACGACCGTTTAAAATTGTTGGAGGTTGGAGCAGAAGAAGCAGAAATTTGGGAAAGAAAAAAGAGGAAGAAGAATCCGGACAGGGGATTTTCTGGTAAATTATCACTTTTTAAAAAATACTGTGGTGAAATCTGTCGTATTTAATTAATTATTTCTTCTAGATTATGAATCGAGCACTGTTCGGCAGTATCATAGACTTATTAAACAGTTCAAACCGGACATGGAGCAATATGAAAAAACTAAGCAGCAACTGTAAGGTTTTTTGCAATAAAACATTTTGTCCCATTACACGATTTTACATATTCTAACCTTCACTTGTTTATTTTTTAATAGAGGTGAAGAGGCCTTTTATCCAACTAAAGATACCATTATTCATGGTCTGCACAAGGATTCCAAAGAGGCCATCGACAATATGGTACAGGATATCGAGAGACAGTAAGTAGAGAAGTAAATAGTATTAATAGTAAACATTGGGATATAAATGACAATTTTTTAAAAATCTTAATAGGATAGATAAACGTTCGAAGTATAGTCGCCGGCGCAGATTCAACGACGATGCAGACATTGATTATATTAACGAGCGCAACATGAATTTCAATAAGAAACTGGAACGATTCTACGGAAAATATACCACTGACATCAAGCAGAATTTGGAAAGAGGAACAGCTGTTTGAGATTTTAAAGTCTTTTCTTATATTTATACTCGTACATAAATTTAAGAACAAAGGTGTATCAGGATATTTAAAATTAAAAGCATTTTTATGATTTATTTTTTATCATAATTGATAATATTTTTTAAATTTTAATGCAAGATAATGTTATAGCCATTCCCAGAAATAGATAATTTTTACAATTATGAGACAAAATTTAAAGTTAGAATCAGACTGATAATTGCTTCGGTCTCTACATAAAAGGCTCTTAAGGTTGCTATGTATATTGAGGCAATTACTGATAATGATATGAATGGCATTACAAGTGTCTTATGTCTTATCAGTCGTGTGATTCAAATAAACATGCGTCACTTTTCAGCATTTGAGTGCAATTAAATCTGAGTCTAACATTCAAAAATTTATACGTTGTTGATAATTTTTCCTGTTGCAGTTTGCTGTATCTTATCGTAAAGTCAATATTATGTTTCGTGTTGGATACGACTTATCAGAAATAGCTGAAATAGAGATGAATTCTACCTCCTATCAAGCAGATTTTTCTGTTGGAGAGAGATGTTTTATTATATTATTTTTATTTGTTTTAATTGTTATCGGAAGCTTTGGAAATGTTCTGGTGATGTATGCCGTTCTCAAGAACCCTATGATGAGGATAGCAATCAATATATTGCTTGTGGCTTTAGCTTTTAGTGATACAGTAATATGCTTACTTTGTGTGCCATTTGATTTAATTACGGTCATGTTAAACAGATGGATATTTGGAAGATTGTTCTGCATCGTTCATGCCTCTATTTATTCCGTGATGCTGATCGAAGGCATCTTTATTTTGTGTATCATCAGCGTAGATCGTTATCGGATTATTGTCAGGAGAAAAAACGAGATTAACTTTCAGAATACTGTTGTGGTTCTGATGATTTCTACTATAACAGCAATTGCGTGCTGTGTGTCGACTGGTCACATTGTAAATTATGTCTTCCGCTCTCGTCAAATGCACTGCAATCTAGGATCGGCTTTGAATGGTTTACAATGGAGCATAATATCGATATATACTGTATGTGGTTATTTTATCCCTCTTATAACTATGAGTAGTTGTTATTTTATTATTATTTGTACTCTGCGTCGGACAGTCCGCCGTATTAATTGCCAAGACATAACGATGATCAACACAAGCTTAAGAATGAGATATAATTTTAAATTCAAGACTAGGACATTATGGACGGTGTTTTTACTCTACATTATCTTTGTTTTTACTAAAACACCTTACTTTCTCTATAAGATTATTGCTAACAAAGAATCTACAAAGGGATACATTTACACAACATGTATCTTGTATCTCAGTTCAACATTAAACCCAATTGTCTATGTCTGGAAGATAGGAATCATAAGACGAATCTTTTGGAAGGTTGTTTCAAGATGTTTGTGCATCAAAAACAAAGAGCCAGACTCTAGGAATAAATACAAAATAAGCATAAATCTGAGACAAACTGAAGAAGGAACACTTGTAAATTGATTGAATAAACATTTTTAATTTTTGTAAATATCAGATTTTTTAAAAATTTTGGCAAAAGTTTTACAAGATATGATCATTTCTTAGTATTTTTTTACAGATTTATATTCGGTGTTTTAGAAAGCAGTGTTAGAAAAAGCCACCGTGTGTATGTGTGTGTGTGAGAGATGAAACAAAAATTCACATATATATATAATATATACACACAGATTGAGATATGTCATGTGATACTCTCAATGTAATCGTAACCTCCTGCTGCACTCGCTTGAGAAATTGTTTGATCTGTCGTTGCATCTTCCCCCTGTACATTTGATAAGTTATGACATAAGAAATATTTAAATAATTTTTTAAAAAAACCAAAAGTTTGCTTACAAAAGAGATGCTGCTATTCAAAATGTCATCTGCCGACAGATCCTCTTCAATCTCTTCTAAACTATGTTCAGAACTGTCAATTTTGATCTCCCCTTCGGGATGGTGGCCGGACTTTCCGCTGTGACCACTATAATTTTAAAATGTTATCACATCTTGTACTTCTGTATTATACAAAAAAACTTTTTTATTAATTACTTACCTCAAAGAAGACTGGAAATCGTCTTCGTATTCTTCTTCCGTGTGTAATTCTGAAGACAGTTATCAAAATTTAAAGCTTGTTAATTTTAATCTTATGGCATTCGTTGGCCATATTTACCTGATTTTTTTGAAAGCGATGGTAGATCTTGAAGAGACGATAGCGTACTGAATGTCCTTTTCGGATTTGTTTCGCTGAATGGTTTAGAATCTTTGACATCAACTTTACTCATTTCACTTTGCAATTTAAGATCTGGCTTGGACACTGGCAAATCTAACTCTTTGCTTAAACTATGAAATAAAAATACAGCTTGTGTAAGTTATATCATATGTTTATACAAAATCTGATAATTTGATGTCAAATTAACTTGTAAATTACAATGTAATGATAAACTATGCATTTCCAAGTTAAGTTGACAAACAATCAGATGAATGGACATTTATTGTAAACGTTAAATTTATAAACTTACTCGAACAAATTTGATTTTCTCTCTTTTGGTAGAATATCATCATAAAAAGGGTCATCACTTTTTAAAGAATAATCTTCGTTATCATCGTCTTCATTGGTTATTTTCAGTGGCATTTCATTTATGCTTTCTTCGGGTAAGCTTTCCGGTGCTTCATCTTTCTTCTCTTCAACAATAGTTTCTTTTTCTGGTGGAGACTGTTTTACTTCGGAAATGGACTCTAGGCTTTCTTTGGGCGGACTCAATTCTGCCTGTATTAATTCGGCTAAAAGCGGGATGGCACCAATATGATTTTCGTCTAGATTAAGCTGTTCATGTAATTGCTGGCGAGGAAGTAGTTCTTTCGTCTAAAATACATAAAGATTCTCTCAAAGATTTCTGTTTGAAGTAATGAAAAATTAACATTTTAAGGTACTTACGGAAGATATTTCAGGATCGAAAACTGCTAAAGTGAAGTCCAAATGAAAGAATTGTAAGAATTCACGAACAAGAGAAGCAATGGTCCATCCTTTATCCGTACTCAAAAAGTCTTGTAATTCTTTGTTTTTCATGGACAGACCTCCTCCAACTCCTTCGTGTTCTTCTAGAGCTAAAAATACACTCGCGCGAAGTTCGGCCTTAAAATCACACACACACAAAAAAAAAGAACACGTATAAAAATTAATCCCAGTCGACAGAAATGGTAATTATTTTTGTTAATTTTTAAAAATTTACTTTGATTTTTCCTATCACTCCTTTATTTTGAAGAGTCTGAATAACTAAATCTCTAAGTTCTGTATCTTCTTCGGTGGACATTTTTAATAGAATTAACAGGAAAAAACAAAAATCACATAAATTTTGATTCTGAAATAAGAAAATAAATAAATTATAGAAAAATTCTGAAGCACTATGTAATTTTTTTAAAAACGTATATTCTATTTAGTCACACAATTACTAGAATGAACATTGTGTTCTTTCCTCTAAAATATATTGTCAGACCAGTCAGTAACGAGATTAGAATCGCGCATTAGATCGTGTTCTCGCTGCTCTCAAGAGAGACGAATGCTCTCGCATGTGCTCGGAACAACTTGCAGGATATATTCCAGTACGTTATGTAAACATCTGAATCATGTTGGGAGTGTACACCAGCCTTAAGATCACAAGCGCATGCCACGTGTTAGTCTCTCTTCAATAAGTTACAAAGAAATAAATTTGCAGTTTTGAATCATATTCGAACTGTAAATAATAGATCATTTTCTAAATAAATGTATAATTATGTTCTCATATAAGAAACTTGTTAACTATTGTCTTACATGTTCATCTTGACATCTAAATATTTGATATGTATCTGAATAAATTTGACTCTCCTAGTGATGTGTGATTGCTGATAGCCCATTTTCTAACTAAAATGATTTTAATATAAGTACCCCTATTCAACGCGTCCAGAAAGGTATTTAGTGGTCCAAATGCAAATCTGGTATGGTGACTTCTTGGGACTTTCAAATTGCACCAAATTACCACTATGGCACTTTTGGAACTGCAAGGAATAAATTAGTTTCTGTATATGCGTTGCAGAAAAGTTATAGGTATAGAAGTGGCTGGCTGTTGACTGTCATTAGCTATGACAGCTGGTGACCTTGCTGAAACATGTATTTCTTTTAAAGCTCTTTTATGAAAATGAAAGAGAATATACACTAAGAAGCATTGATGCCGCAAGATTAGGACAACAGTTGCTTAATTTGAGGAAATTGAATGTCTGGGAGTTCAACCCAGTTGAGGGAACAAATCTATCAACAAATTTTATGACTATTGTTGAATGATCAATGAATAATTTTGCAAGCTCTAACAGTGCACATGTTATGGCAGTTGGCCATATCCTATGACAAATGTGGAAGGTACTGAGAAAATTGGTGCAACATTATCCATATAAGATCGACCACAACAGAGAAACCTGACTGACTTTGCATTGACATTACTTGCCAAAATAGAAATAGATGTATTGTAGTCATGAAATATCCTGTGGAATAGTGATAAAGCATAATTCATCTTGATGGACAGTGAACACCCATAACTATCATAATTAACTATGGAAAGAAAGCCCTTGTGTTTTCCAGCACATTTCAACCACCCGAAGTCCACAATCCACATAGCCACATTTATTACCCTTTGAGGAAGCTATTCCAAATAGACCATGACATACTTTGTAATGGCTAGGATACTGAGAGATGCTCAATGCTTTTGTCATAACCCACCTCAACAGTGGCATTGCCTCAAGCTAATCACTTCCATGCAAGATGGGAATGCCTACACAAGTTGGGGAAGTTTCTGCAACATTTCACTGAAAACAGAACATAGATACCACTTGTCCACCTTGTTCTCTGGATATTAATTTGTTTGATTTTTGGTTATGAGAACACTTAAAAAAGTATGGTTTATCAAGAACACGTTACAAATTTGGTAATCTTGAACACTAGTAACTCACTGCATATAAGAAGCACCACAGAGGATCACATTTTTGACACCTCAGGTTTTGTGGGGACCACACCAAACAATATTCCCTACATTGTACAGTACACAGTAAATGATTGCCTCGTACAAATAAAATGTTGTTGATTGCACTATCAAAAAATGCCTAATGGCAAGTTTTGTTGTTAGTTGGGCTGCAATTGAAAAAATTGTAGGCATAAATTCTCACTGTTGTCTGTCCGTCTTTCCTTAATCTCAAGAATGGCATTAGATAGATAAAATCTGAAACCAGATATGGAAACCTTAGGTGCAGGAAGCCCCGATTAACCATATAAGAACTTTCAATGCAAACCAGAAGTCATGTCATTTCAATTCAAAACTTTTCCCCTGAAAGCAGTTAATAGATGACCAGCACGACTCTATTGTTAAAGGAAAAGTATGATATACGGAGGCAAGACTACAGTACTAATTTGAGGTGGAGAGCATATATTTTAAAATAAATTAATTAAAAATTGCAGCCTGGCATTGTGACGATGTCACAATATATAATTGCTCGTTCTACACATCCTGAAATGCCACCATACATATTTAGTTACATGTGAACTGTTAAATTCTCTGTGACATTGAATAGGAATACTTTTAATTACAATAGCCAGTATCTTGACAACTCTCATAATTTAAAGATAATAAATAATTCAATCTACTGTTACATTAATTTGAGAATATAGACAGCCAGAAAATCAGGATTTTTAATAAATGTAGCAAGCAATTACAGATTGAACCATAAAGCTTCAAGTACCTGAGATCAACACTCCACACATTACGGATCACGCAGATGATAAAGTTACACCAACTTTCTATAATGTCGCTTGGACAATGTTAACGTCCTTAAACCTTTAATATTTACCAAGGGCCATATTCTGGTCACTGTCTCTAGTCTCTCGTAAGCTGGTCGCTGATTGGCTAATCCAAATGATTAGCCAATCAGCAACCGGCTTGTGAGAGACGAGAGACCAGAGATAATGACCAGAATATGGCCCCAAGTTCACTGCAAATTTATCTATAAATTTAACTCCGAACAGTCCTTCAGAGAGAAAATCTCCTTCGGAGGCTCCCAGAATTAGATTTTCTCTCTGAAGTGAAATCTTGGAATCTTTCATGGATAATCTGACCAGGTTATAAACTCCACACCACATCACCAATGTTAATAATGATACAATACGAAGCTGCCGAGCAAATGTAGCCAATTACATGACCGTATTACTTAGGAATTTATCTGAAATGGAAGGTTTAATAGACTATACTTGCTTTGCAGCTTAAAACTATTATTAAACATAATGCCCATTATCTGGTAGGCAGCTTTACAGCCAGCAAGCTAGAAGCAAACCAACATGCTGTCATTAGGTGGTTTCTAGCTTGCCAGCTGTTATCAGGCACACCAATTACATAACCCATTTCATTTGAAACAGACTATGTCATTGGTTTGCTTATCCAGATGTATTAAAGCAGCTTTACGGGGAAACATGCTCACAGTCTTGCTCAAGCCATTTAATTCCTGATGTAAAGGTGCCTCGTGCCAATCAATCCTGAGTTTAAAAACATGCTTCTACACTGAAATTAAACTTGGTTTAAAGAATATAACATAAATAAGAGCAAAAATAATACTTCTTTTGGAAACTTCAGAAAAAAAAAATTTTTATAAATTAAAATATGCTTTATTTTTACCATAAAAATGGAAAAATATTACAAAATGTAATGTATTTTGTATTAATTTTCATTGTTTTAAACGTAAATCCTAGCGTAAACAGAGTACGTATCTAAAACGTAAGAATGCAGACAGACTGCAGTAGAAAATCTTTAACGAATTTTAAATCTCTCCGGCCATTTAAAATAATATTTAAAGTGACAATACAATATGACGTAACAATACGGCAAAATTTAGTGTTGACAGCTTTAAAGTGTGACGAAATTTAAAATTTTAAAAGCAGAAAAACAAACCTGAACGAGACTACACAAGTAAATGTTTTTCTCTATGTTAGCGCCACCTGGTGTGAATAAATGTTTTTATTCGTTTTTAAATTCGAAATTAAATAGAAATTCTATTTAATTTTATTTTATTATTATTATTTACTTTAATGAATTAATAATAATATATTTATATTACATTCATCCAGTAGTGCCTTTATGTCTGCGGCTCATATTAGTAGATCGCTATCTACATATGCAACGAAATATGGGCCGGTCTGCACCTTCGGAGAAATTTCATATGGGAAATTGGCTTTTATTTACGTGTTGCACACGAAATTCTCTACGCGGAAAACTAAACGAAACCGGGCATGCGGCGTGTGATAATCTGGAATTTGCGGAGAATCAGTAACCGATAAAACAAATTGACAATAACCGGGCGCGAACCGGAATTTGCTTGGACGTGTGGTGCGCTAATTGCGATTGAAACGAACTATAGAGGGCAAGCGATCAAAAATAAATCTCCCCGAAGATTTTTTTAAAATTACTAAATTGAAAACGGTAACTCCAGAATAAATTCTTAGTCTCGAGGTTGTATAAGGCGTGTAGAAATTCTGACATCATTTTTTGCTTTATAGTGGTAAGCATATGTGGTGTATACCTGAACGGCGGATTAAGCGGTAAGCGAACTATGCGGGCGCGTAAGGCCCCGAAGGAGCTCCCGCAGTCTTTAAAATGCTACTGAAAAAAAGGATTGCAAAAGCACAGAAGATAGAAATAGTCCAGAAAAACGCTTCGATATATATATAGATACATAGAAGTAATAAATGATATAGCTTTATGTCCAACAATATTAACAGATGCTATTATTGATCATATTCTTAAAACAAACCAAAAAGTATAGAAAAGGGATTTCTTAATAAACGAAAAAAAAAAAGATTTAAGATAATGGAAGTAGATAGAACACCAGATGAATGAAGTCACTTGACACCCGAAAAATTATTTAAAATACAAATTTACAGTGTTCTTGACACTCTATTGTGTCAAATAGATTGGCGTTATGAAAAAAAATGAAAACTATCTGTTACGATTTTTGCTTTCTCTGTGGCTCGTCTTTACAATACATGAATGTTGCCGATTTAAAACAAAATTGGCTGCAGATCTCGCTATTAAATAAAGCAAAGATTTAAAAAAGTACGAATTCACAAGTGAAATTGAAAGTTTTAATTTTGGAGTAACGACTCTTATACAAAATATAGAAACTGCATATCCGCTTAATATTCTACAGCAGTGATTCTCAAACTTTTTCGATCCACCGCCCCCTTTGTTCCATAAAGTTATACCCAACGCCCCTTAACCCATTTTCTCTTGTGTGAGAAAGGATTGGAAATATTTTTAGGAAAATTTTTCTATGAATCTCACACTTTGTTCCCTTACCGTACATTGTTCTCAACATCTGGAAACCATTAAACGCAATGTTTCCTCTTATCAGTTTAACAGAGGCTTTCAGTGACCCCTATTTTGCCTTTGGTCACCGTTCAATACCTTGCCTCCAATGTCCCCTAGATTTACTCATCGCCCACAAGGGAGCGTTAAAAAGCTAATGTAATGTACAGTATTTGTTTTATTATTTTCCCAAAACCAAATAAATTAAGGGACCTAAATGGAAATTCTTGCACAGGGCACAGGAATGGCTAGTTACGGCGCGTTCGTTAATAGCGATCTCACCTCGTCTCCGCTAATATGCTTTTTGTAGGCGTGTTGCTTTCCATCGTAAATTACTACTACGAGCGGCCATTTTTGTCGCGCACTCCGGTCGCAATATAGGAACGCAATTCTTATTCTTATTCTACTCCCTTGGTTCATATGGAGACTATAGCCTGATACGCTTTTTCTCCGAGAGACGAGTTATTGATCGCTATGCGACCGAAGAGCCGGCCGTATCTAACGGCTTATACGCACGCGCGTGAAATAATGCCTTCCGGGAGGACTTTTAAGGGGAACTGGCCTCCTATTCAGTCGTTATTGGCAAGGAGAAAACCCGGAAAACTCCTTGCAGCCAGCCTGTCCGATCGCGGCGCGAACCCACGACCGAACTTCCCAGTGTTTAGGGTCTGGTCACCGCTATGAGCGGCTACGGAGACCACTCGCCCACTGGTGGGGGCATATAGGAACGCGTTTTGCAGAAATGTTTAAATGGATGCCACTCGAACGGAGTTACGCGGATGAATAAAAGAACGTATCCTGGCATTAATTTTGCATTTAACATTGTGAACATATATTTGAACAGGTATTGTATCTATTTATTAACAAAATAAATTTGAGCACTATACTGACTTAAGCAGGAGGAGAAATTAAACGGGGTTTCATTGAAAAAGCTATGTTTCATGCAAAACATTTATTTTTATGTTGTCTTCGACACCGTTCGGAAGAATATGTTAAAGTTGAAGGTTCTGTGTTCATGATCTAATGTTAAAGAGCGTACGTAAACAAATCGGAAGCGGGCAGCGTGCTCTGGTACAAAATATACAGAAATGTCTGCAATATTCGGATTGCACGTAAGTAATCGAATTTTCCGAAAATACTAAAAAAAAAAAAAATCCGGCATAATCCCTCCAGGTGTCGGATTAACAAACTTCTACCGCAGTTTAAAAACAAAATCTACGTCACTCAATACGTAATTACATAAAATTATGTAATATTTCTCGTACAAAACCTCGCATAAATTTCCGAATAAAAATAAATTACGAAACGTTTACGTAAATAAAAAAAGAGCAATTTTTATTTAAAATAAATTTAACTTTGCAGACGACTACGGACTCGCGGTCACGTGACGCGGATCGACCTCTAAGAGCTTGCGCAGTAGCGAGATCGAGGCTCCATCCCAAACGATCTTAATTTAACGTCGCCATATTATCGGCGGCCAGCGTTTTTCGCCGTCAAGCAGACAAGGCGTAGATAGGGGGTCGGAACGCTCCCCTCTCGTGAATTTTTTAAATATATCTTTTTCTTTACCATCTTCTTTATCCGGAAATACTTAGAAAAGGAAAGTAAACGCGTTTTATATCGTGGAATTAATCATGTCTTGTTGATCATCCTGAAGATGAAGATCGAAAGTCGTCATTCCGCAGGCTCATTGCCATTCGGAGTTCGTTATTATCGCTGTGGGGGCGCCGAATTAATTGTTTTTAAATATAATAATGGAGAAATCGTCAAAGAATACTTCGTCCGGTTCCAAAGGGACAACCAGTTCTGATGGAAAAGCGAAACAAGGTATCGTCGTCTTCCTACCATTTTACCATTTAATAGGTACGGTTGCAGCAATGAATGATGGGTAGGGGCCTTTTAAGAGCTGTGGATCGTCTCCTTAGGGCCTGGGGGGGTTGTAAAATCTGTGTGGGTCCACACCCTTCATTCATAACTGCAAATAAAGTAAATACACTCTACTTCTGTATTGAATTTTATATAAATAACCGGTTAAATTCATTTATTTGAGATTAGAGTTTAATGTTCTTTTTTGTTTTGAAATTCAGTTGAATGGAATAGACTGATTTGAGGGTATGTAATGGCTCCGTTCGGCTGACTCTACAGTTCTGGAGCCGTTGAGTATTTTTCTGCCGAACATTCTCTACAGTAGCACCGTTTTGGAACGTGTTTGGTATTTTGACGGCGCATTTAGTGGCGTCTTTTGTTTAACCCGAAACAGATCGATGATGGCTGCTTTCTGTTCTGGCGCATACGTCGCTCGTCGTTTGGCAGATGTAACTACGTAACTACTCCCGATTGAAACGCCTTTGCTCGGTTACGACTGTTGACTCTGCTGAACGCAGTTGTTTGATCGTAGCTTTGTGTGTGGTTACTTTATATTTATTCTCATATGAGTGCCCGGAAGGTAGCAGTGCTTAATTTAGAAAGATTTAAGAGAATGTAAGTGAAAAAAACAGAATAAATAGTTAATTTTGATATAATACAGCTTACGTCTGTGTCACATTATAGAGTCATGAGGTCCCAACTTTGAATTGGGGCCTGTGTACGGTGTTGACTTTGAGCTTTTTGTTTGGGGAATTTTGGGAGGAATCTCCCAGTATCCTCATTTGTTTTTTAATGTAATCTTAGTACTGTGTCGAGCTGGCAATATAGAGTCCCCGGATATGGCCCGAATTTAAATTCCGATGTTCTCGGTACAGTAACGAGTTTATGGAAGATTGGTTTGGTGCTCTGTTGGTGGGGCCATAGACAATTGCCCTTTTTGTCCTTAGGATAACGTTTCACTGCTTATCTTTGAATACAAATGAAATGTGTGCATATAGATTGGTGTTAGAACTTGAATTAGAACATAGAAAGAAAAATTGAGGGAGATTAACAAGATGCACTTGCACCTCCCTAGCTCAAACAAAAAATGTTGAAATGAGGGAATAAAGAACAGAATATAAATGAGAACTGAAAAGTTTTGTTAATTTTGTGTAATTAATGTGGCATAATTAATTTCAATTGCTTTGTCCAATCAATTATTCCATTGTGTGCCAGTGCATCCTCCTAAAATAAATCCTGCCAGGCTACTGGAAACAACTTAGGCATTATTAATTTTTGTGGCAAAAATGCTTCTGTATTTTTGTTCATATTGTTATATTAATCTGCATAAGCATCATTATAGTTTTTGATATAAATGTTTAAGGTTTTCCAGTTTGTTACAATACCTATCTTTTTAATCTTATCTGTATTGTCTGTTGTTTCAAAACGTTTTGAAAGTTTTAAAAACAGTCCGGAAAGTAATTTTTCAAAATTTTATTTGATGGAGATGTGTTATGGTCAGTTTATTATATAAACATGTAATAAGTGAGATATTAGTATGTTAGATACATTGAATAAGAGATGATTTGATGAGATCCTGTTCATATATTGCATAATGCAATTTTGCAATATATGTGGCTTCATTGATCCTCTTGTTATTACTATAAAAAAAGTTTCCCATTTGCTATATAAAATTATTACTCTTCTGATGATATTTTTTTGCAAAAATCCTATTTAAATTATTTAAAATTAAATTACGAATGTATCTTTAAACGTTTTTAATGATAAAATAAATATATTGAAATGAATTATGACTTTATCAATAAATTGTATGCAATTAAACAGTGTGGTGGTTGATCTGTATAAATATTGGGGGATGAGCCAATGACGATAGTAAGAAAAATCTAGGAAACTGGTGTAAACTGTGTCTAGAATAGATTCTTGCATTATCTTGCTAAAATGTAAAGGGGATGTGCTGATGGTGTTGATTTAATAATTTGAACTGTTAGTTCAGATTATTAATCAACTTGTGTAAAGGTTACTTGTTACCAGGTTATTAATCAACACCAGTTATCATCACCGATATTAACCAACATCAATCAGTACATCTTTTATGTTTCAGCAAGATTATGTAAGTGTGTATTCTAGCTACAGTATACTCCAGTAGTTTCAGAGTAATGTTACTGGGGTATGGGTTGGCTATCATGCTCCCCGGAACTGAATCTAAATGGTAAATCTCTGGAGAATTCTTGAGGAAAGTATATGCAGATAACCATTCTTTTACATTAATTGAACACCTAAAAATGTGATTCAACAGGCCTAGGAAGAGTTAGGTATGAAGACATTAGAATATCTTGTTTAAAACACATCAAAGAAATAAAAATGGATGCCTAACCAATTATTAATTAATAGTAATGCTTTTTATGACTTTTATATGACCTCATTTTTTTCTGATGTTGAAAATAGACTTAGGGTGTTTATATTTATGTAACTAAACCAATTTACGATTAAAATAAGTAGTTTGATACTTTTTATGATGCATAACTTGTCAATAAGCATAACTAAAATGGTAAACAATGAGTTCTAGTCTGCTTGTATTATGCCTTTGCAAGTGGACTAGGCATATTAAGCACAATTTTTATGATTTATTTATTGATAACTATTATACCATAGTATTATTTTAATTAATCATTCATAAATTCACTATTTTTCTCACTCATATGTTTAGATAGAATCTAGATGGATTTTTATAAGAAGTAGGCTATAAGGCAAGCAATTGAGAGAGGGGAAAACAAATTTGTAAAATAGTTGGAGAGTTCACTAAACAAATATGAAAATAAAGAACAATTAGAACTGTTTTTAGTTAAAACAATTGTCTGCACAATTGTTGATAGCTGTCCAAATGATTTAACTGGCTAGACACAAAAAATGCAATTACAAATGTGTTAAATGATTTTATGTTCATACAAAAGAAATTTTTTCTCATCAATTTACAAAACTTAAGTTTTTAACAATCACAGATTTGATATTTATTGCAATCTTTTAAATTTTATGTGTTTTCAAAATGATTTAGTTCTCTGCTGCATAGTATGAGTCATTGAAAGATGCAGCACTTTGTTGCAAGAAGCATTTTTACTGTGCTATTACACAGTTAAACTACTATATTTTTTAATCATTTGGCAATGATAACTTAACTAAAGATGAATCCTAACAGTTGAATAAATATGGTGCATTTTGATCTGAAGTAATTATCAGAAAGGGGAGGTTTAGTTAAAGGGTACTACTCTGTTAATATATATGTACAGGGTGTATCAGAATAACGTTTTAAAAATTGGGGGGCAGGGCCGTGCCGTGCTATGATGCAGAGATGCGGCCGCATCAGGCAGCACCGTAATGGGGCAGCATAAGCGGCATTTCAAAGACTTGCATCATACTTAGAAAATCTACGACACGGCCCTGTTTGGGGGATTGTAGAGGATGAAATTTTGAATGTTTTGATAGTCGGTATGCTGAATGAAACAGCAGAATACAGTATTTATGACAAGTTTTATTGACAAAACAGTAGAGTACAATCAAACTGTACGTCGAATCAGTGGCTGCACTACTTTAGAGTAGATGTTTAATGTGACGACCACCAACTTCGTTACATAATGCGCAACGATGGACCATGTTTTGTCCGACTCTCTGTAAGATGCCACGCTTCCCTTTGATTGTATTAAATGCTGTAAAGATGCACTCCGTAAGCTCATGAACTGTTCCTACAGGTGTTGTGTAGACAAGGGACTTTACATAACCCCAGAGGAAGAAGTCAAGAACAATAACATGACATCAATGGACGGAAAGGTAGCTACTAAAGTGAAGGTCAAGCACTTCCTACCACTGTAGAAACTTTATATCACATTTCCGGCTATGGGTTCCTTATATCAAAACGTTCAAAATTTCATCCTCTACAATCACCCAAATTTTTAAAACGTCATTGATACATCCTGTATATACAAAGACACAGAAATCAAAAAGGACTACAGACAATATATATATATTTATATACTGTATATATTTACAAAAAAATTTTTAAAAAGTAATATATACAGTTTGATACATGTTAATTTTATAAATTTATGTAAAAAAATATTGTCGTCATTGAAACTAGTCTGTATCAGAGAGTATACTGTTCAAAAGCAGTTTATTTTTTGCTTGTAAGTGTTGTCATAACTACTAAAAATGATTTTTATTTTTAAAATAGATTGTTTTTTTTTAATCCATTGTTTTGCTAAAAACTAGAAGTCTTATATATTCAGAAGTCAGAAGAATACAAGAGATTTAAGGAATTACCTCTATTCTGCTTAATGCATAGTATTGCACATTTTACACACATTAATATATCATTAAACACAAAATTGTGTGATTTTTTTTTGAATTAACTTGGTAAAATACAGGGTCTTTCAACATGAATGCTACCATTTTAAATTATTGTAATTATGTTATTATTATCCAAGAATATAATAATATACATTGGAAAACAGTTCAAGTTTTTCGTTTGCCCATTGCAATTTCTTAATTCATGTATTGTACTCACATGACACAAATCCAACTGATATTCAAATTCTTCCTTTGCTTGTTATGGCATATCCACTATAACTCCCCCTCAAACAGCCTCAATTAAGCTGCAGATTACTATAATGTTTGCTATACACTTATCATTGTGCAACTGCAGATTACCTACAGTTTTACAATGACGAGTTATTTCAACATTGCGAACTGCAGAACACCAAATGCCTTCTCTGTTGCAGGATTTCCATTTGTGTTTATGATGCGTCTTAGAGGTTGTAGACAACAAGATATTTGGGATGCAGATTGGAGATGAAATTTGGAGTTACTCTATCGATTACATACTACTTGGATAAGAATTAACATAATTACAGTAATTTAAAATGGTAGCATTTGTTTAGGAAAATCCTGTATTTTGAAAAGGGAAGGAACAA